GTGATATAGGCAAACATCTCTATTTGACATATGAGTTGATCGCCAACATCTCTCTTCCATAGTTCCACAAGTGAATCTGGCACGATCACTTCGAAAACGGAAGTTTCAGCTGTAGCAGGGTTGTAAACCACCTGGAGTGATGATTGGATCTTTAGGGACAGTTGTGACATTCTGGCTTTGTGGAGCCCTGGAACGTAAGACAGTTATTGAGAAAGTTAGTCCAGAGTTGAGGGATGCGACAATTCAGGCTGAATTGAATATACTCAGGCTACAGCAGGTGAAGCGTCAGACTTCAGACAAATGCACAGAGCTCAGACTTCGTCTTCTTAGCATTTGTACATTGGAACTGCGGAGAGGTGTTATCATCTTGATCGCCGTTGTCGTTGTTATCCAGATTGGGACAATGTGAAGAGAGGGCTTACAATTTGGGAAATCTGCCGTATTTCATCTTCGGCTTTTGAGATTGGGCAATGTATTTTTGTTTCTGAACAAGGACAGAAGTTTCATTTGACCCGATTTTGTCGTACTTTCAAGAGTCTGCCGGTGACCGAATATGCAAGGTGTACTGCATGTTGTACAATGGAACATTCTACACAGGTTTTATTCGAAGATTCAGTACCTCGCCAGCGAAGAACTGCTTCGTCAACTTCTTCTATTGCAGGTATGTCAGAGGACTAGATTTTTCTGGATTGTGATGGGACGCCATGACTTTCTGGATTGCATTGCATTGATTGCACTACGTATTGGACGAAGACTCCATACTGACCTCTCATCGAAAGGGGGTGTGAAAATCCTACCTGGTATAGCGCTGAGAGATCAGTGACGTTGCACAGTTTTGATTTCACCAAGTATCGTCTGTGGACGAGCCTATTTTGACGTGGAACGATTGTGAATGGACAGATCGTAGTTTGTAGTTTTGATTTGGCCGAATATCATCTGTAGATATACTTTTGGACGTTTTTAGATGATCGATGCTTCATAGAGCATCTCGTGACACTCAACGAGCACAACCGACACTGCGGTTGCACTCGTCTCGTTTTGTAGTTGAGAGTTGTGATGTTTTTGTAGGAAACCGAACATTCTTTGAACAGTTTGGAAATATTTCAACAGTTTGAGAACCGAATGAAAGCTTTTGATCCTCAGTGGATCGCTTTTCGGAATTTCGTCAAGACTGGAATCCAGTTTGCAGTTTAGACAAAAACTCCTCCTTGGTTTTTGTCACCTTTAAACAGTATTTGAACTGAACACCCAACGACATTCGTTGGCTCAAGGCTCAAGCCCGAGCGAGAGAAACAGAGTGTGTGTTGAAGCGTTGCTTGTTGTCTGGAGTGATTTGAGCGAGAGAGCACGGAAAGTTTGACTCACGTTTGTTTATTTGTGGAAAAGCCTTTGGGTAACTTTGATCGCGATAGGTTTTGTTTTGGTTTTCAAGGCACAACTTAGCGGTGCAAAGTTTTACGGAAGCTGCAGTTGCAGAAAGGGGTGGCAGGCGTGAAGGAAAAATTCCTTTGACGCGAAACGGTCAACGGATTGCTGGCTCCTCGATTCATGTTGAAAAAAGGAGTTCATCCGTCCTGTCATTTTTGATGTTGCAGAATTTTCGAACGGAAGTTGTTTCATGTTTTATTTGGATGTCGGTTGTTTTTACATGTTGGTAGTTTTTGAAACTGTTTTTTTGTGCGTGGATGCGCGAACGCGTTAGAGGGTTTGAGGTGAACCAAAATAAGACAAGCAGCGACCCACTTTAGTGATACGCCTTTATCTTAAACTGGTTCATTAGCAGGGAGCTGCCGACCTCATATCCCTCTCTTCCGTTCGTGTCTCTGTTGTTTACCTCTCTTGTGTCTCACCTTCGCAATCCTCTTTACGCGGTCGGTCTCGTTGCGTTTGTTTCCTGTCTTGTGTGACTGTTAAGCAAACGGTGAGTTTGAAGAGAGAGAGGCAAAACAACGTTGGAAACTAAAACTGTTTTTTGTTCCTGAAGTGGAATTTTCAAACCTGTTTTGTTTTTCTGAGATCACATGTTTTCGTGCAAGCGCCGAATCATGTTTATTTATTCCACGACTTTTCATTTCAAGGGAGGGTGGGTGGACATCGCCTGGAGGTTTTGACCCCCCACACCCATCCCACCTCCAGGCGTGAAGGAAAAACTCCTTTGACGCGAAACGGTCAACGGATCGCTGGCTCCCCGATTCATGTTGAAAAAAGGAGTTCATCCGTCCTGTCATTTTTTCAGAGCTCAGTGATGTTGCAGAATTTTCGAACGGAAGTCGTTTCATGTTTTATTAGGATGTCGGTTGTTTTTGCATCTGGGTTTTTGAAACTGTTCTTTTTTTATGCGTAGATGCGCGAACGCGTTATAGGGTTTGAGGTGAACCAAATAAGATAATTTTCTTGAAGTTTGAGCGAGGGTTTTGGCTAGGTAAGAGTGTTTTGATTATGGGAGTCAGGACAGGGACTATCCGACGGACTGTGATAGCCTGTGTGACTTGGACGCTTGACGGACGCTAGGGTGTGACGTAGGTTGATTGGCAGTGGATTCTGCCGCCAGTGGATTCTGCCATTGTTAATGAAGGTGATAGGGCTCATTGGCAGACTCTTGTCCTGGCCGTGACTGGAGGCAGGCGTTAGAGTTGCCTAGGAGGAGACGTCCTCAGGTGAACGATCTAGCGGGCTGGTCTAGACGGTAGCATTTCATGTGACTTTCTTTTGCAACAGAAATCTGTTTATTTTTGCATTTGCTGAACTGTGCATGTTTGGCAGCATGTGTTTTGGTGCTTCGTTTCGTTTTGAGAAGTGGTTTGATCTGGATTTCATTTCCTGTTATTTCTGTTGTTTGTGTCTTGAGCCCAATACGCGATTTTAGTTCTGTTACTTCCAATCTCGGCTCAGAAAGCTCTCAAACGATTTGTATCTCTGGTTGTGATCATCTCACCCCATCCTTTCGCTGTAGCAAAGATGGAAGTTCCTGAGCCTGCCACAAGGTGGCCAAGGTGGAGACCACGGATGATGTGTCAAGAATGAAGACGCTCTTCTTATGGGTGGCACTGTCACCGAAGCAATATCATGACTTGAACGCAGGCAAGGAAGTGATCCCAGATGAATATTCAAAGAGGTTTGGACTTCGCCGCACCATGCTGAAAGCCGTTGAAAGAGCCCACTTGTTCATGGATTGGTCACCGGAGGGGAGCAAAGGTGAGACACACCCGAAAGACTATCTGGCAATCCAGATTGAATTCTCCCCGTTGGGCTATATGAGGAAGATGGAACAGGGTGTGTTCTGCAAATACAAGCCCGACGAATTTCGGTAGACTGGGCCAATCCACAACTGCGAGTTTGACACCGAAGGGCGGTGGCTTTACCGATTTCGAGGTGAAGTGCAGCGGTTTGTATAGGCCCATAGGCGGCGTCCTCAAGTGAGTGGGATGAAAATCTTGAGTTTTTTGAAAGGGGCGATGGTCAGAAGGATGACTGTCTGCCATGCGGTCGAAGGAAAAGAGTAAGAGTAAGAGTCTTGCTTGGGCAAGCTGTCACGAGAGGTTGTGGAGATAGGTATCTCTGGCTTGCATATCTTTGCAGTGAAAGAGAGAGAGAGAGAGAGTGAGTCGTCACTTTTTCTTTAGTTTTTGGATTGGTGCAGTTGTTATGCATCAGTTTGCTGCTCATTTGATCTGTTTCCGGGTCTCTGCATGTCCCGAAGCTGTGGTTGCGAAACGTTTTGATAGGTTTCTTGGTAGTTAATTTCGGTTTGCCTGCCGGACTGCCACAGTTGACTGTCATGTCAGGAATCGGATTTGCGCTGAATGTCGCTTCAATGAGAGATTCCAGAAAATTTCAGCTGTGTATGTGAAGCTGTATATAGTGAAAGGTTCTGGAAAACCTTCCTAGTGGAGTTGATGAGACTTCTTTTGCTCAGGAAATTTGTTTGTGACTTTGATTTAGGGGATATTGGGAATGTCGGGCAGTCAGTGGGCTTCGACTTTACCCGCCATGGGCTCTCGGTCAACGTCTGAAGCTGCGTCGCGCTTAGCAGACCTGCAGCGCCTCGTGGCGCTGTCAAGCAGTGCTTAGCGGTCCATAAGCAACTGTTGCAGAGTACCGGAGACCATGTGGTGTTCTTACCCAAATTAGGTCCAAGGACCCACAGAGCAGGAACAATTCATTGATGAGTACAGCCACCATGTCGAAAATGAGCTGCGAGATGTCCTGTCCGCTATCCTCCGGCTACTTCCTGAGTGAAAAGCCTACAGTGAGAGACGTAATCGTATATATACAGCCAGAGAGAAATAGTACGTGGATTAGCTCTATAGCTAGGTGGGCTGTCGCACGGTTTGGTGAAAAGAAGATTGCTTCGCAGCCGATGAATCTGGGATATTTGTCATGATTGAGCTGGGATTTGTTCATTTTGGCAATGTGAAATGTGTTTCTTTTGGAGTCCAGCAATGCTGTTTTTGTTTTGTTTTGCATTGGACTGCATTGGATTGCATTCGTTTGTCTTGGATTGCATTGGACTGGGCTGGACTACATGGGACCACGTTGGATTGCAGTGCAGTTGTGTACCAATCTGATCTGAATGAAATTGGATTGTGATAGTTCGTATCAGTGTGGTTGTGAGATGTTTCGTGGATGTACGTCCACAAGACTCTTTTGTCCAAGTATCTTGGAAGGGATCATGATCGAATCATCGCAAATCCATATTTATCAGATAGCGGATGGTGTGCGACCGGAATCTGTGCCGGAACGTCCTCGACGAGATTAGTCTTTTCACGCACGGCTCGATGAACTTGAACTACAAAGGCTTGTAAGACTCAAGCAGATGGTGGAGGACCAGATCATTGCTGTACGGAACACCCGCCTGACAGCTGCTACCCTCTGGATTACCGGAGGAAGGTGGTTGAGGGGGATTATAGAGATTGAGGAGTTCTGGTGCGACGTCAAGAAGGAAGTAGACAGGACACTGGAAGAAAATCTCTATGACACTATGAGCTAGTATGGTGGAGATGGCGAAGATTCCGAGGTGAGTGGGAAATTGAACCACCATAGCGGTGTAGACAATTCGGTAGCTGTGGGGAGTCAATGAGCGCGGCGGTGCAGTAAGCTGTCCAGCTGTTCGTTATTCTTGTAAGTGACTGGAATCTGGTTTGGGATGAGCTTGGATGTTCTGGAACTGAATGGTTTGTTTTTGGGTCACCTGCAGGACCACTTGGGCCAACTGTCAGGGACTTTACACCGTGTTCATGCTGCCGGCAGTGATCAGTCGATTGTTTGATGTCAGGATTTCTTGTCTGAGGTATCTTTCATTGATGCGGCGCAAACACACATCATTCTGATTTTGTTTTTGTTTGTATGCTGAATCCTGCATTGGTTTGGACGAGTTGAGTGGGGTCCGATCCTCTGGAAAGGATCTTTTCAGCTGAAGTCAGCCATGTTTTGCAGAGCTTGGCATTTTTTTAGCTGAGCACCTTGTCATGTTGCAAAGTTTGAGGATCAGCGATAAAAGAAGGTTTCTGGTGGTTCGGAGCGACATCTCTTCAGCAGGAGTGAGCTTGCCCGAGGGCCACATAGACAACAGGAGCAGCGGGACATTGGAAAATCGGAAGGCCGACTGTTTCGATAAGAACTGGATCATTGTAGTGATCCGTCGGGAACTGAATCCCAAAACGTGCAATTAGACAAGATAGAGAGAGAGAGAGAGATATGACCTTTTCATCCACGACTGCTTCGGTGTTGTTTACGCTCAAGCTTCATGGACTGGATTCTTCAGGTTCCCCGGATCCTTGAGTCTGCCTCCTCCCTTCCTTGGATTTTTGCTTGCCCTGCCCATTGCTCTGGCAACTCTCTCGCCTCACTTCTGGCTGGGATTGGCATTGGACTTTGCCTGGGACTTTTTCTTGGATTTTGGGTCCTCTTGTCTCTTCCGAGACTGGGCGTTGGATTTGGACTTGTCGCCCCCCAGCCAGAAGGTCCTCGACCGACCCCTTCATCTTCCTCTGCTCCAGCACCTTTCCATCCACCTTCTGACCCCCATTCTTCAGGTGCCAAATCTACAAGAAGATCCAGAGTGGCTGGATACCTTGTGCATGAGTAGGGAAAGTTTGGAGGAAGAAAACCGTTTGTTGAAGGAGCGAGTGAGTTTTTTGGAGAGAGAAGTTTTGCGTCTGGCAGAAGGCAGACGCCATCCCACCACGCAGGCAGCGGAAGTCTGGGAGGTGATTGAGGGGGAGGCATTTTCGGATTGGGTCCCTGTGACACCTCCTTGTGAGTTTGCTGCCGAGGACGGGCCACCTGCCTTGCCTCTGGTGTGCAAGAACTTGGCCGAGAAGAACCTCAAGCCTGGCAAGTTTAGTCCTCTGCAAAGAGCTGAAGCAGCTTTTGAGACTGGTTTCTGGATACGCATTGCCTTGGAGACGTGCACAACTTTTCAGGATACACACAGCCTGAAGGGTCTAAGTCCGTCACACTGGATTGTTTTCCGAGGAGCTCTTGGAGGTTTGCCTGTGAGGTCGACTCGCAAGTCTGATTGCATCAAGGCTTTGTGGGAAGGAGCAGATAGCATCCTGGTGCCAGTTGCATCCTTGACAGAGCTGCACATCATCTGCGCCGGGGCGGGCCTTTCGCTCCCAAAGCAGATACAATGGAGAAGTCAACAATAAAGCTTGCTACAGCAGGCGACCCTTCTACGTTGGTGCTGAGCTTGGCGGCGGATGCGACTTCAGAGGATCGGCAGTTTTTTGCAGTGCCCATCGCAGTACGACAAGGAGGTATCCTCTTAGCTCTGCCCGAGAACACCTTCTCTGGCGAGGCGTTGGCTGCCGGTCAAACAGCAGATGATGATGCCGTCATTGGGCCTTCGACCGTGCTAGGTTTGGAGCTTTTGGAGGAGGATGACGACGGCATGGTGCAGAGGACGGGCTTTGTAGTCTCCACGCTGTGCGTCGATCTCTCAGACGGGATCATTAGCAGCCTGAGAGAGTATGACCCTGTCACTGACTCCACTGAGAATATCCTCTCGTTCCACGCCAGCTACCCAAACGCTTTGCCAAACCTTGAGAATGCCCTGGGAGAAGTTATGGCTTGGGCTGAGACAGCTGCTGCCAGGGCAAATTTTTACAGCGCTCGAGACGAGCAGATACCAGGAGCCGCAGCAAAGAAAAGTGCTGCCGCTGTGGCAAAGAAGGCAAATGTTGGCGGAAGGAAGCAGACCACCGCCGCCCTGGCAGAACAGGTGCAGTCCCTCACAACACAGATGGCGTCGCTGATGGAGTCGCAACGGGCCCTTCACCAGCACCTACTGGGCGAAGATGCTGCAAGAGCTGCGCCCGTGCAAGCACCTGGAGGTCTTCTTTCCGGACCAAAGATGCCTGCCCTATCCAGCTCACTTTCTCCACCGAAAGCAACGACCCTGGGGGCATTAGCAAAGGCATTGGGGCCCCCGCCCAGGACCAAGGCACTACATGCAGGATTGGGTTCTTCTACGTTGGGGCAAGGGGCAAATCAGGACGAGCCTTTAGACGTCCTGATGAATGCGGAGCCTCCCAGCCAGGACACAATGCTGGCTGCGTTGACCCAGCAATCTGCAGCAGTCACAGCACTTGTAGCACATATTGCAGGAGCTATGACCGATTTGCATGGAAACGTACCTGGATCCCTTGGAGCGTCTACAAAAGGCCTACAGAGAAGGCAAAAGCTTCAGGCAGACCTAGCAAGCCAGTCCTCCACCTTTTTCATGCAGCTGCACCAACAGATGCATCGCAAGATGTTCCCTGCCAAAGTAGTCCCACAGAAAGAAGAAGATTTTTTTGGAACTCAGATGAGCATGTGCAACTACTTGGAGCGTTTTGGGAATTTCAAGAATGCGAGGGAGGTGGGGATGACTATGTGGGTGCTGGGCCATGCGATCGACGCTGCAGCTCAGGGCGATCACCGGACTTGTCAGGAGTTTTTGGCTCTCCTGGCTTTGGCCCTGGAGCAAGTATCCACGGATGGGGATTGGAGGATAGCTTATCACCTCACTCTCTTGGAGGAGCCACCTTCAGTGATGTTTCAGGGCCGGCCTCAAGCAGTGTCAGCAGTGGGGAAACCTTTTGCCAACTTGGTGCCCCCAACACTGGCGGCAACGACGCTGGCCTACATCAAAGAGGTAGATGTGCTGCTGACGAAGAAGGGAGAGCTGAAGGGAGGCAAGAAACCAACTGGCGCCAGTGGAGATCCGGAGGAAGAGAGGGAGAGTGCGAGCCCCAAGCGGAAGCCACGCTTCCCCAGGAAGCCAAAGCAGAACGAAGAAGGAGGGTCCTAGCTCCACGAGAGCAGGACGTGCATGAGAATTTATTTTCAAGTACAGAAAGGCCTGGTAAAGAGGTTCTGGAGGCCACTCTATCATATCCGAAGTGGTGTGCTCGTTTGGTTTCTGGAGTGCTCAAAACTAGGTGCTCCTTTGCTGCTTTCCTTGTTTTTGCAATCAGAACCTCCAGGAAGAAACCAGAGAGGTTGTCTCCTGCACCGACTTTCTTCCCCATTCCTGTTCCGTCCTGGGACCTCTTCAATGGGACGCCTGCCACCTCTCTTCATGCAAGTCTCCCTAAGCCTCACCTGCTGGACAAGGTTGTTTTTGTCATGGTCATGGCTCTCAACTTTTGGCATAGTGGAGGAGTTTTTGTCGAGAGAGAGAAATTGCAGAGAGGCCTGAACAAGCAGCACAGTGCTTTGATCAAGCACCTCAAGGCCTTGGTGAAGTCGGATGATCCAAATCTCAGTTTTCCTATTGTACAGGCTGGGAGGAGGTTTCCTGAATTGACTGCACGGCTTGCGGAGCTGTCCGACTTCGTGACAGCAAATGGCGTTGCATCAAACCCCTACACCAGGACTTTCCCTGGCGTTTCTGAGGAGCTACAGGTGGACAACACAGCAATGCCAGAGCTTGAGCCCTACCGTGACCTGGATGCAACGCGCCTTAGCATTCATGGGAGAGGGGCTTGGAATATCACCGAATTTTTGGGTGATGAGCTCGTGATGGTATACCGAGACGCCAGGGTCATCCAGTTACAGAGGATGCCAACTAACTGCCCCATCATCCGTGACCAGCCGGAAGAGATCCTCAAACTGGCACAACTGTGGGACACGCATGGTCTCCTTGTGGCCCACTTTGACCAATCTTTTGAGGATAGGCCTGGGGAGTTGGTGAGAGTTTTCAACGCCCTGAAGAACCCAGCATGTGATCGGCAGATAGGCGATCGCAGAGGACGCAACAGCATAGAAGCTCGGGTTGTAGGCCCTTCAAGATGGCTTCCTGCAGGACCAGATCTGCAGGACCTGGTCATTGACCCCTTCACCCAGACCTTGTCCATCTGCGCAACAGACAGAAGGGACTTTTACCACCAGCTGTGGGTCACCAGAGCCCGCGCACTCTGCAACACCGTTGAGCCAGGCCTACCTACTGAATGGCTTCAGGATACACAGGTTTGGCCACAGTTGTTGGAGCTGATGAGGAGACGGAGATACGACCGTCTCAGAGATGGTGACTTGCTAGGTGGTGAAGGGCTGGACAACAGACGGAGGAGACAATCCTTCGAAAAGTGCTGGATTGCTTTTGGCAGTGTTTTTCAGGGTGACCATGCTGGGGTCGATTTGGCCACAGAGGGCCACACACAGCTGTTGAAGGACGCAGGGCTTTTGGAGGAGGACACCAGGCTGCAGTCTCAGTCCCCTCTGCGCTCCAGCCAAGTTGCCCAAGGCCTTTGCATTGATGACTACTTTTGCGTTTCAGTGGAGCAGGAAGGGAAAGCCCCAGGGGCATCTCTCTCTGAAAAGCTTCTTTCCAAAGCCAGGAAAAAATATAAGGAACACAACCTGCTGGGGAGCCCAGACAAGGATGTCGTTGGTGAGGAGGAGGCAAAAGTAATTGGAGCGCAGCTGAATGCTTCATCAAGGGCAAGGAGGTTGGGCTTGGTGACTTTGGGTGTGCCACTGAAGAAGAAGTTGGCGCTTTCCTTTGTCACCCTCCAAGTATGTGCATTGGGTTTCACCACTGATGCACTGCATCTATGTTTGCTGGGAGCTTGGGTATCGATGCTCATGTACCGCAGACCACTCATGTCGATCCTCTGCCATGCTTTCACCTTCGTAGACTCCTCCCAGGTTGACTCCATGAAACCAAGGGTCATGCGGCTTACCAGGAGCGTGAAAGATGAGATGGTGTTGTTAGCAACTCTGATGCCTTTAGCAGTTACAGAGCTGTCAGCACCTTACCATGGTTGGCTGTATGCGACAGATGCTTCTTCTTCAACAGGAGCGGTTGTCAGGTGTCAGCCGGGCAGCGAAGCAGTTGAAGTTTTGTGGAAGGCATGCAGATCAAAAGGGTCATACACACGCTTCAGGTCTCAGAGAGAGATCCTGTTGCACCGCTTGGGCTTGAGTGAGGAGACGGAGGAGCATGCGCATGAAGAGCCCGTGAGGCGTCCGCTTGCCTTCAGGTTTGACTTCATTGAAGTTTTTTCTGGTGCGTCTGGAATTACTCGTTTGGTGGAGTCTTGGGGTTTTTCAGTGGGGCCATGCATAGACCTGTCCGAGAGCGAGGAGTACGACATGCGTTTTTTGCACGTTGTGAGGTGGCTTACCCATCTCTGCTCCGCCAAACTGCTCAAGGGTTTCATGTTGGAGCCGCCTTGCACAACGTTCTCAATAATGAGAAGACCACAGCTGAGGAGCTTGGAGGAACCGTTTGGTTTTGACCCCACAGATGAGGCAACCGCCTTGGGCACTCTTTTGGCGCAGAGAAGTTTTCAGGTGATGCACACTGGCCTCGTGAACGAAGTCCCGGGCATTCTGGAAACCACTTTTTCTTCCAGGATGAGAGCTTTGCCTAGCTACATAGCCCTGAAGGAAGATGAGGCCTCAGACATGTGCCGGACAGACTCGTGTCGTTTTGGGTCTGTCCATATGAAGCCTTTTAAGTTTTTGTCAGTTCATGCTCCGCTCCGCAGACTGGCTAGGAGGTGCAAATGCACGAAGAAACATGTTGTAGTGCAGGGCGTCTACACAAAGGCGTCAGCCACCTATACGCCAAGCCTCTCCCTTGAGCTGGCGCGTACAATATGCCTAGCCATGCTTGCGAGGCAGGAACTTTTGGAGGAGGATCAAACAAACGAGACAAAAGGCCTAGAGAACCTTTTGGTGAACCAAGTCGCTCTCACGGAGGAGTGGCAGACTCTGTTCTCCTGGAAGTTCAAGAAGCTGTCTCATATCAACATTCTGGAGTTGTCCTCCATTTTGAGGTTGGTGGTGCACTTAGCCAAAGAGGCTTCTCATACCAGAGTTGTGGCACTTACTGACTCCTTAGTTGTCAGGGGAGCTGTGTCTAAAGGGAGAACTTCCTCCAGAGGTCTAGGCGCTGTCTTGCGAAAGATATGCTCCTACGTGACAGCTGCTGGCATTTACCTCACAGTCCCTTTTGTGCCAACTCGCCTCAATGTCGCGGACGACCCAACCAGAGAGGTTGAGCTTCGAAAACCTGCAGGAGAGAAGTTACTGCAAGCATGGAGGAGCTTTTTGAGATAGCTTGTTTTCCGCCCATGCGACGTTGGGCTGCAAACTGGGCAAGACTTTTGTTGGTGCTTCTTGGACCAGGCTGTTTTTAGTGCGTGGCTTGTCGAGAACGAGATCGACTTTGATCTCATGCTGTCAAGACACCATGAATGCATCGAAGAGATCAACATGGTTTTAGTGCGTTTTGGGAGGGCCCTTTACCCTGCTGGGAGACCATACAACCACTATTTGGAGACAATTAACCTGGTAGTAGCAAAGAAGCCTTTACTGCGACGCATGCTTCAGGTGGCATGGGACTACGCATTTAGCTGGGTGAAACAAGAGCCTTCGGCTCACCACGTGGCCATGCCTTTTCAGGTCTTGTTGGGGTGCATTTCTGTGGCAATTTTTTGGGGCTGGGACAAAGTAGCCGGAGCACTGGCCCTGATGTGGGGCGCACTTCTCAGAGCTGGAGAGTTTCTTGCTGCTTTTCGTTCACAGCTGTCATTGCCCAGGGATGTGCAGTTCTCAGTCAATTTTGCTCTGGTGTCTATACCTGAGCCGAAAACTCGGCTGACAGCCGCGAGGCATCAGGTGGCAAAATTGGACATACCTGATCTTCTGGGTGTGGTTGATATGGCTTTTGGTTGTTTGAAACCTGAGGAAAAACTTTGGCACGGAAGTGGCCAAACACTACGCAATAGACTGAAGCAGATACTCCTTGCCCTTCAGCTACCGACAACCAAGACACTGCAGTTGAAGCCTCTAGATCTAGGCTCCTTGCGCTCAGGGGGTGCGACCTGGCTGATTTCAACAACTGAGCAAAGTGACTTAGTGATGCGCAGAAGAAGGTGGCTGAATGCAAAGACAATGAGCATATACTTGCAAGAAAGTATGGCTGTACTTTACCTCCAGAAGGTTTCAGTCTCTGCAAAGGAAAAGGTCCTTCTTTTTGCTTCGTTTCTTCCTCAACTACTTGTACGTGCTGCAGGTTTCCAAAAAGCCAAAGTTCCCCAAAGGATGTGGAACAACCTGCTGCAGCCCGAAAAATGACAGTACGTGTCAGCAAAGGTGGATGTTTGTCAATGGAAGAACTGGGATGAATGTCGGTTGTACAAAGCAACCTCCAAACTGTGACAGATCCAGAGGGATTGCAAAACAACTGACCGTGCTTGAGTTGATGACCTTTTCATCCACGACTGCTTCGGTGTTGTTTACGCTCAAGCTTCCCAGCCCATCTACTTCGTCTTCCCGCCCATCGAGCTGCAGCAGGGATGAATGTCGGTTGTACAAAGCAACCTCCAAACTGTGACAGATCCAGAGGGATTGCAAAACAACTGACCGTGCTTGAGTTGATATATATATATATGACAAAAAATATAGATGGGCTATGGTGGTCATCACCTGCGACTTAAATGCGCCCAGGTGCACCACCAAAGCCCAGCAGGTACGCTTACACGGGTCCCGGGGAGGTGTCTTCGTTGATCACCGACCCCCCCGGGACCCCGGTGATCCCCTGCTTTAATGAAATGTATAATATATAAACATGAGCCGCCAACGAAGCTTTACGTCTGTTCAGACGGCCCACACACACATATATATATACATATATGTATATATCTATATGATGTATATGTATATGTATATATATATACATACAGTAAATATATGTATATATGTAAATTTGAATCAATAAATGCACATTTTCCATCCATACATACATACATACCTACATACATAGATACATAGATACATAGACACATAGATACATAGATACATAGATACATAGATACATACAGACATACATGCATACATACATAAATACATACATACATACGTACGTACGTACATACATACATACAAACAAAAAATAGATGGATGGATGGATGGATGGATGGATGGATAGACAGACAGACAGACAGACAGACAGACAGACAGACAGATAGATAGATAGATAGATACACAAATAAACCACACATACATCAGTGAACCACACATACAACATACATGCATGCATACATACACACAAAAACAAACATTACATTACGTTACGTTATGCTACGCTACGCCACGTTATGTTACATTACATACCCTACATACAGTACATACATGTAACACGCATTGAATACAATACATACAATACATGCAATATGTACATTACATACATTACATACATTACATTCACTACATACATTGTGCAAACATTACGTGCGTTACATACATTAGATATATTCGATACATTAGATGCATTACTTTACATACATTACATACATTACATACATTACATACATTACATACATTACATACCGTATCATACTATACCATGCCATACCATACCAAACCAAACCAAACCAATGCATACATGCATCCATCAATTCATCCATCAATTCATCCATCTGTCCATCCATGCATGCATACATACATACACACAGACAGAGACAGAGACAGAGACAGAGACAGAGACAGAGACAGAGACAGCGACAGAGACAGAGACAGAGATACAGACATACACACATACATGGCTATGGATCAATACCGACAAGTACCATTTTTAGGGTGATGAACATCCATTTACCAACTATTTTGAGGTTCACCAGGGGTGCAAGGTTTTGACCCATCCCCACATACAGACATAGATACATAGATACGTAGATACGTAGATACATAGATACATAGATACATAGATACATAGATAGATACAAACATACATGCATGCATGCATGCATGCATGCATAATGGAATTTGCATGTTGGCCGTAAGCGGCATTGGTTTTCGGGTTGCGTTCGCCATTTGTTTGTTCCAGGGAAAATATCCTAGTTGTGGTATCGGGCTCTACATGGCGTTTGGAGGCCCAGAAATGCATGTACCAAATTTTTTTCTCCAGCATGGGACAGACCTTGGACCTTTCAACTATTTATGTACATTGCATGATCATTAGAATTGTTTTTGCCTTTGCCGGCTGGTGCAATGTTGGCGGAAAATGTGTTCTTGGTCCTGAAATGTTGACATAGTGCATAGTATCCAGCGCCATGGATGCAGACCTTCTGCAGCGCTTCAATCCAGAGGTCTGGCCGTGAACACAGGATATTGAATGAATCCAACCAGCCAAGGATTGTGTTGGCACCAATTTTTTTTGGAAACAATCATGCGTTTGGATTGGACAAAACTGGAATTGAAGACCATCCCATTGAATGGTTGTTTCCTGTTGCGTTTGGTGAACATGGCAGCGCACAACTGGAAATCTTGAAATTTGAAACCATTTTTTCCCTTCAACAATTGTGTTTTTTTGGACATGTTCCCTTCTATCATTTTGAACAGAATATCATTTTTTTTGTGTCCACCCGCTGCACTGTCAGGGCTTAAAAAAACTGACATGGTTGCCTTTTCCACATGATTCATAATTTTGGTTATATTTAGCTACGTCATCCACAGTGAAAACTATCAAACAACTTGGACACTTGTGGTTTTTCATCACTCATGTTGTTTTGGTGTTTTTCCAACCATTTTCAGGCAAACGCAAAAACTCTGGCCGATCTTCGATTTTCCAGTATATATATATGTTAACCCATATAAAAGTAGATAGATAGATAGATAGATAGATAGATAGATAGATTGATAGATAGATAGATAGAGAGAGAGAGAGGGACAGACAGACAGACAGACAGACAGACAGACAGACAGACAGACAGACAGCTAGGTAGGTAGGTAAGTAGGTAGGTAGGGAAGTATGTAGGTAGGTAGGTAGGTAGGTCATAGATCGGTCATAGATAGATCATAGATAGATCATAGATAGATCATAGATAAGTTGATAGATGGATGGATGCATGGATGGATGCATGGATGGATGGATGGATGGATGGATAGATGCATAGATGGATAGATCGAAAGACGGACTAGATGGATTGATCGAAAGATAGGCAGGTAAACATTTGAATGTAAACAAAATAATTTAAGTGTATATATAGTCAATGGGTTGTGTTGTTTTCCCTGCGGACCCGTGCCTTCCGGCGCGCGAGGATTTCTATCGCCACTTCCTCGCGGACGGGCTCCGGCCCGATGGCCGCGGCCTGCGACAGCAGAGATCAGCAGAGTTGCAGCGGCACGCCCTGGGTGACTTGGTGAAGTTGGTGAAGTGTCAGCAGATGTGGTGTTTACCGTCTGGTAGACTAACATAGCTATGGAAAACTTGTGATTTATATTTGGTTTACCTTTTCTTTTACTGTACATGGTGATTTTTCATAACTATGTTAATTTACCAGAGGGGATGGGGAAAATTTCCATGAAATTGTCTGAAAATTGGATATGCCTCCAGACTCCAGTCAATTTAATGGGGAAAATCATCATCCACTGGAATTTGGGGTCTCCTTTCAGACAAACCCACATCATTTATCATGGTTGAACCATCATTGAGGGAGTTACCTGGTCGCCTTTGGAGGGTTTGACTGAATAACCAAAAAATACACTACCTGAGACTTGAAGTGTTAAGTTTTGACATATGGATGAATTTTATGCATTTAGAATTGTCATCGCAATGTGATTACTTCTTTTGCTTAGTACGGTGATGTTCTGAACTGGAAACAAATGTGAGTGGGCCACAATTGCTAAGTCCAAAGTCGGGTGGGGAGTGATCTCAAATCCACCAGCTTCCCCATTGACATAGAATCATAGAAGCAGGAGCTTTTGCTTTCAGCGATTAGACCCCTGGATAAACTTTTGTTGATCCAGGACTCACTACCAGGTTATTCATGGCAGGTTCTTCATCCACTAGGAAAGCTTGATTTGTTGAGTGATTCACCGCCAATGTGTGCTTGGGTCACATTCTTTTACCGCCAAAGCTAAATGGGTAAGTCACGTAATACCCATAAAAAGAAGTGAACTATTCTCTAGGCATTGTTGTTTGACCTATTCTCACATCATGGTAGGGTTTCAAAATGGTGCAATCCATGTGCTGGCTTGTTTGGGCCCAAACATTGAACGCCTATCCGGTCTGAACATATTTGTATGTGCCTGTGCCACGAACCAAAATATTCATAATATCTTTGTGACAGTATCAGCATATTTCGGGGATTTTCACAAAATCCTTTTCCAATTGCCCAATCACCCCATTCTTGGTTTTATAAGTAAGAAACTCATAGTTTTGGTTGGTTTGATCCGACATTTTGCTCAACATTGACATCCCATTTTCTAAAATCAATTTTAGTTGGTTAAATGACCAGAAATCACCATAAATCCACAAATTTCGTTGGTTCATAACGGTTCATATTGCACAAACTGCTGGATTTGGGGTGGTTTTCATGCCATTCTTTTCTCCAAGGATCGGCCCTTGGCTCGGCATCCCTACGCCTGGGTCGCTCCAGTGTGCTGTGTGGCGTGCGTGGGGAGTTGGTGGCCTGGCTGTCGTCATGGTCCATGACGACTGGATTGGGATGTTGGGGGTGTTTCCCCGGCGACTGGGAAAGCTCCAAATACAGTAAATTAAATAAATGGTGATTTCACCCACCTGTGGGATTTGTTTTAGCCAACAGATAATGTTCAGATGGGAAATTGATGGCGTGTCGAAGGACACCATTTCCATGCTGGAAAAAACACTCCACATTATGAGTCCGGATCAGGGAAGGGTAAGGGAAGCGAGATAATGAGTTTCATGGGTCAAAAACAGCAGAAACATCTCACTTCATGGACCAAGGTTTTGGACTGTTTTTGGTTGGTGCATAATCATGTTTTGAAGTCTGACAGTTTAAGGGTGCACATGTAGCTGTGAAATCTGACCCCCCAGTGAAAACAATTGACGGCAAAAATAACTGTTTCTTTCAGTGGGCAGAGCGGCATGTTTTCCTATTGTGGAATTTGATGACAATTCCTGGCTGAGTGTTGGACCTTTTCTTGGTGTCTCTTTGTGGCTTAGGGAGTCACAGCCCAGTTTCTCATGGCGCTACATTTCGATGTTTGTCAGGATGCTGGCATATCCTAATCGAAAAAACCAAAGAAATTGAAGAGAAGAGATGATGTTCCTACCGAATGCAATTTTTTGTTTTTCCACTCTAGTTATTTTGAGGTAGGGCACCTTGGCAATTTTGGTGGCTGTTTACCTGGTTGTGAGGTTGCTTTGTTGGTTGGTTGTGCAGTTTGCTCAGTTGGTTGTTTGGCTGGCTGATTGCTTGCTTAGAATCCACATCTTAGGTGGTGAAATCCACATTGTTCATCAGTGTTGTCCCTGTCTTTATGGTTTCACCTACGGTCAACTCCCAGATGCCCAAATCACCATTTTGCATGGTGAAATCCACATGTTGATAGCAAAAACCAGCATTTTTTCATAGTGAACTCAGAAACTCAGATTTCATGTTGAAGTGAAATCCCGTAGTCGCCGTAGTCAATCCCCATTTTTTTTAATGAAAAACCGCCATGTTTGTTGGTTAAATAACGATTTTCCGATGGTTTTCGGATGGTTTTCCTGTCCAGGAAGAACTGGGTCGCATCGAAGTCTCCGTGGAGCTGCCACCGCTCTGCTCCGCGCTCTTCCGGGAGAAGCACCGGGCGTGGCCTGGCGATCCAGGGCACGTTGAAAAAAAGGCACGGCAGATTCGAGGCTGGTGGAAGATGAGTTGACAAAAAATGTTGGTTTACCCATAGAAATAGATGGTTTACCTATTAAAAAAGGTGATTTTCCATGACTATGTTAGTCATAACCAGATGGCTATGGATCAATATCTATAAAAATACCATTTTTAGGGGGATGAACATCCATAAATCCCAGCTATTTTGATGTGAACTACAGGGGTACAAGGTTTTGACACACTGCCATGTTGGTGATTTAGAATGGGTAACTGTGAATTTACCAGAGGTATATGAGTTTAACATGGTTTAACCATCAACAAATGGGGAGTTGATGGGGATATCATGGGAATTCTTACCCTCTGGTAATTTGACTTTTTTGGATAATCAGCATTTTGTAATAGGGTAAATCTTTTTTTTTTTTAATGGTCATTGTCAATAGCTATGTTAGTTTACCAGAGGGTAGAATATGCCCGTTAGTAACTCAGGCGTAAGCCCACTGGTCATGATCATGATCATGGGGATAATACCACTGGTCGTAACTGCGACTAGTAACATTTAGTGACTATAGCTACAATAGTTTTAATATGTTTAAATCCATTTATATATATATATATGGGATAAACCACCTAGGAGTCTTACTAACCAGACTTATGAAAACCAATTAGTCCAAGTAGTGACCCTGAGATAGATAGAAAAGTTGTAAAGCTGGAAATATGAAGGAGATAGCATCTATTACATCCTGGAAATATGTTTCTATTTTTTTTTTGGGTGGGTTGCTATATATTACAAGTGATTATTTAAGCAGCAAGACTGGTGGTATCATTTATAAAAGCCAACGATTTCATGGAGCTACAATGGAATATAAGGGGACAACCTCTTCCCAGAGGTGACCGCGTCAACAACGTTTGGGTTTTAATTAGGGTTTGTTATCCAGCAACAACCACGTTTTTTTACAGGTGAACCTTAGCCTTTATACGCTACGTATGTTCACATCAAGTGGATCCCATAAGGGGATAACAATGGGGATAGCTGGAATCCATCGATTGGATCGGAAAAAGCAGATGGCTAAACCCTGAGTTTGCATCCATCCATACTGTATAGGGGGTTAAACAAAACCCATAGAAAGCCGTAGAGATTTCTTGAAATCAATCCATTCATCCATTGAAATTTTGCTCCTGCCGAGGTTGGGACAGATGTCCTTCCTCTCCAAGACTCTGACAGAGGTACTTAACTTGCCCTCCGTCTTCGACCCCAAGCAGCTGCTATGCCATGGAGACTGCGGTTGGGTTTGGTTGGAGAGTTGACCACTGGGAGTGGATAAACCAAATGGCTGGTGGTTTCATGTTTTTTTTTCAGCTTTAGTATGAGAATCCCAACTGGTGAATATTTTTGAGATGGATTTTAACCTCTACACAACAATGGTGCCCCTGACTGGTGGGATATGGGAACCGACAAGCCACGGCTTCATTGGTCACCAGCTGCTTTTTGGCGACCGACTGGTTTCATCCCAAGTGAGTTTCCAGAAGATCTCTGGGAAGAGAATTTCCTACAGATTTTGGTGAGAAGATGAGGAGCAAAAGTTCACTTCCCAGGTGGGTCACATTTTTCAAAGCCCAGTGGCATTCTCCAGGAGACGTTTCATGGGTGCTCCATGTCCACATCGTTTGTCTGAACTACGACGGCAATGCCTTTGACCTTTGCCTCTTAGCGGCCATTGCTGCATTGGAGGAGCGGCCATTGGAGGAGTTGGTGACAGGGACGCTGATCCCATATTGACCTTGATCCCATTTAGGCAGTTTACAACCAACCAATCAAACCTCTTGATCACCATAGCCAATATTGACCATATATGCGTTTAATTTGGTATGCGTAGTCAAACAAAATATAACCACAATCAACCAGACTGAGCCAGATGTGAATCATTTCGCTTCACTATTTGTTTACCAACGTTACTGGCTTTACGTTGCCCTTGCGGGCGGTTGCGTCATCGGCTTGACAAACACCGCAGAGGATGCCGAGCTTCCAGCGCTGGTGAAAGGAACTTTGGGGCCAGAGGCGGTCCGAATGGAAACCAAGTGGCGGGATTTGGAAACGAAAATTGGATAAAATTGGAACTGGATATGGGATATGAATTTATATGGATCCAATATTCTGGATTTATATGGATTTGGAAACCACCAAAAAATAAATTGGATCCAGAAAAATGGATCCACGGGGATGGCAGGATGGCAAACACGGCGAGATGAATTGGGACCGGAGATACTCCCCCTGAAGCGGCCCCGATGCACCAGTGCACATGGGCATAGATACGAACGAAAATATGTGTTCAAGTTGAAGAAAATGCGCTGAGAAATTTGTTGTGGCCAGGATTTTGTTGTGCCGAGAAAATAGTTTCAACGCACATGGCCGATCTTCAGTGAAAATGAAGCGTTGGCAAAAAGGCCAAGCTAAGGGCAAGAATTTAATCAAATGAAACAAACATCCAAAACACATCGAGAAGCTCGACAAAAACACAGACAAAACAGAAAGGAACAGATTGGAATCAAGATGAAGTAGGAAAGTTTTCCTCCGAGTGCTCATCTGCAAACCTGAAATTGAACAAAACAAAGAAGGGAGGTATTTCAGCGACCAAAGAAGCCGGATTTGTTGAGTGGTTCGAGACATTCTTAAATATATACTTATGGAAATCTTATATAGAAACGATTCTGCCTTTGATGAAAATGGCTACAGAATTGGTCCCAAAGTCAGTGCCCAAACCTAGTTACAGTTACATATAAAAGCAACCTATGTTCTTTTCAAGTGATCGTGAATTATATGGGCTAGGCACATTTCCTACTGCTAGGGGGAGGCCTCAACTCATGCGGCTGTAGTTTCTTGCGCAGAAGGCACAGAATGAATAGAACACAGGAAATGCGCGAAACACACGAAACGATTTTTTGCCCTGAAGTTTTCACTATTCATCCAAGTCACCTGCGTCTTGGATCCTCAGCTTTGGTGATATTTCTCATTGTGTTCCATTGAAAAACCTTCAAACATACATTTGGGGCTTCTTTGTCAGATCAGATTCTCGGCTTTGGTGTTTGCTTCTTTGCTTCCTTGCTGCTTCCCTTTTTGCTTTGGTGGGAGGTCTGAGTTTGCTGCATGAGCAGGAGGCATTGCATGAATACAATTCAAGAAATGTTGTGGGCATAAATTCTTGTTACTATATACATAGGGAAACCACTCCATCATGTTGTGGAAATGGGGGAACGGACCACAATTGATGACCATTAAAGAGTAGGGAAAGTCATGTTTTCAACCAATTGATATGGGGTACCATGGATTTCCAGGCACCATTTACAACTGGCTATGGTTCCAAGCTATTGGTTCTCTAAATTAGATGCTTCGGCAGTTGACAACTACTGTGGGTTCGCTGCTGCCTTATTTCTGAACCATAGCAAAGTGACTTTGTGCCAGCTTTGCATCAACTGTCAGCAAGGCTGGAGAACGTCTTGCCATTGCACCTGCGAACGCTGAGGACGTTGTGTCGGAGGCAGGTGGATTTTCTGTCTGTCAAGCAGTGCCTTTACACAGATTCAGAACTATATCATACTGTCAGCGCGCCTGATTGAGATTTGGAGAACCGTTACCACAAGGCAGTTTTTCTTTTGTGGATTCGTTTGCATTTGGAGTAGATGCATCCAGACGAAATCATGGTAGCGTGCAAGAATCTGCGGTGATTTGCTTCTTTTGTTCCAGGTTCATCTTTAGGACGCCCTTGCCACCGCCAAAAACCTCACTGTTTTTTCTTGCTGCAGATGTCCTTTTCCCATCGGTTGGTGGTATATGGTGCATGGTCCTGGACCCTGGCACAGGGAAAGAATCTTGTTGAGCACTCCGATTCCGTTTTTGGCCCAGGCGCGAAGGCTGGTGCTTCTGGCAAGACCTCTGCCAGTGACCTTTGCTCGGATGCCAGGTGCAAGTTTTGCTGCAGAACCGAGACGTTTGGGTCAAAAGAATTGGGTACCCGAAACTTGATGGTCAAGACATGACAAGACACATGTGACACATGTCCTGAGATCTGTGAGTTGGAGCCTTCCAGGTGGCCAGTGGGTGCTGGATCCTTGCGCTGTTGAGGAATCCTTGGGCGCTTCTGTGTCTCTTTGCTTCTTGGAGGGACGCTGGCTGGTCTTCCATCAGGCGCTTGTGGGACGAGCCGCGGAGCCACTGATTTGATCACAGCGTCAATGATCAGTCCATCCAAGTCCATCCTGCTTTTTTTTTCATTTAATAGCTGATCAGCATTGCTGATCATTTCTTTGACGTCAAGACATTGTTTTCTGGGTTTTCATGATTTGGCATTTCCATTTTCACAGATTGCCACAATCCTGGGGACTTTTTGAGACTTGGGGCCCGCAGGGTGGTGGTGCCGATGCCAACCGCTTCTTGGAAGAGCTGATGCCAGTGGCGCGCACATCTACGGAGAAGCTGACCAAACTGTTCGAGAACTAAGAGGAAACCAAAATATTGCTGCGTTGGATGCGGCTACAATCTATAAACAAGCTGCGATAGTGAGAAGGGACCTGAAGTTCGAATGCTGCAGACTCACTGCAAGTTGTTTTTTTTCCTTGGTTTACTTGGAACATATGATGGTTGCGACGATTTATTTTCACAATCATTATACAATTGCAGAGCTTCTCAGCACATTTTTGTTCAAACCAACCCTCGCCACGACCAGTTGATACTTGTTGCATTTCGCATCCACCATGAGCTTCTTCACTCAGATCGCCGATGCCCTGACATCTGCAACATCCACGTGCTCCGTCAATGAAGAGGTGCGAAAGGTTCGCACCACGGCAGACCCATCGATGGCACCTGAGGATGCCCTTGAGCTGTTGAAGGAGGGCAATCGTCGATTTGTGGATGGACAACCCTTGGGTTCCAAGACTCAGAACGTCCAACGGCACCAGTTGGTGGATGAAGGTCAGGCACCCCACACCGCCATCATCGGCTGCGCCGATTCGCGTGCTCCGTTGGAAACAATTTTTGATGCCATGCCCGGTGACATCTTTGTGCTGCGCAATGCTGGCAACACTTGTACCTGGGCTTAGTTAAAGTTTAGAAGCATTTTCAATTAATTTCATTATTATTTGTGAGTGACATTGATGACTTTGACACTGCATGTTTCTGTCGATTTCCCCAGATAAGATGCATTGCATTGGCATGCACTGAATGTACAAATGTGTGTTTGTACATGTGTATGCATTGCATGTATTGATATCGAACATCGGATATCATCGGATCAAAATCCGGCACCAACCAGACCAACCAGGTACTCACGCTGAGGGCAGCATGGTGGGTTCGCTCGAGTTCTGCACCGGCAAGCTGGGGAGCCGCCTGATTTTGGTGCTGGGCCATACCAAATGCGGAGCCATCTACGGCGCCACTAAGACCTTTTTGGATGCCCAGGCGCAGGCGCAGGAGCCGAAAAAGGCCGGCTCTGCCTTGGAGGGTCTGCTGAAAGACCTTGGCTCCGTGGCCCAAGAAGCAGCAGACGAACTGGGACCTGGTGCCAGCTCAGATGAAGTGGCAGCACATGCCGTGAAGGTGAACGTCTTCCACAGCATGAATTTCTTGTTGAAGTTTAGTGACAGTATCCGAGAGGCTGTCAAGTCTGGACAGGTGCAGCTCCAGGGTGGGATCTACCATCTGGAGACGGGAAAGGTTGAATTCCTTGGAAAGTCTCCGGTCCAAAGTGAGCTGCTGAGCAGCACTGCCTCCATCCCTCCTTCCATGACTTCCATGGTTGAGAGAGAAAGTCGTGGCCTCCATGGTGTGCGCACAGCGGCAGACGAGCGCGTTCCATCGGATGCGGCTTTGAAGATGCTGAAGGATTCCCAAATTCCGAGGGTATTTGGGAATGTTTGGAGTGGTGAAGTGTAGTTGTAGTTGACACGTAGACACCCCCAGACATGGTCGCCGAACATTCTATTGTACGTAATCTAGCACAACGTATCCGTGCAAGCTGTGAGGTGTCGTCAGTCTTGTCAACAAACCGGTAGCTTTCATGTTGCATCTAGAATCTAGAGAAAGGACTATTGAAGAATTTCTTCAAGTGTCAGTCGCTGACAAGTGATCAAGATATACGCCGATGAATCAAAATTCATTTGTGATCTTCCCTTGTTGACTCGGGCTGACTCGGGCTGACTTGGGGCAACGGAGGCCGGCAACGAGCGTTTCGCCACTGGCGCGGTGACCGCCGGCACCACCTCCGGCGAGATGAGGAAGGCCCTGGTGAAGTACAACCAAGCGCCTCACAGTGCCATCATCGGATGCGCCGATTCACGTGTTCCGGTGGACACCATCTTTGATGCCACGCCCGGAGAGCTGTTTGTGCTGAGGAACGCGGGCAACACTTGTAGCTGGGCAAACATAGCCTTCCTTGAGCAAATGAATGTCTAAACAGAAGGTGATGTTTGGACATGTTTGGACAAGTATGAACATGTTTGGACATGCTTTGACATGTTTGGACATGTTTTGACACTTTTGCGTCCTGTCCAAAGACCTCCTACCTCGAGTTCTGATGAATTGCAGTGACTGACTCAGTGGCCTACAGAAAAGAATAAAAACATATAAAAACTGTGGATCCAAAATTGGACAAAACGTGACGACAGAGGTACCCACGCGGAGGGGAGCATGGTGGGTTCGCTCGAGTTCTGCACCGGCAAGCTGGGGAGCCGCCTGATCATGGTCCTGGGACACACGCAGTGTGGTGCCATTGCTGGCGCCACTGCGACCCACCAAGCAGGTGGAGAGGTGAAAGCCCCGGGCTGCGCCCTGGAAGGCCTGCTACAGGGCCTGGCCAGTGTGGCCAAGGAAGCGAGTGACGACTTGGGCCCAGGAGTGTCCCAAGAGAAGCTGGTGAGCCATGCTGTGAAGGTGAACGTCTTCAACAGCATGAATTTCCTGTTGCAGTTTAGCGAACCCATTCGTGACTTGGTGCGCAAGGGTGAGCTGGACATCCAGGGTGGCATCTACCACCTGGAGACCGGTCGAGTGGAATTCTTGGGTCGTTCTCCCCGACAAGACGAGCTGTTGTCCTCCAAGCTTTCCCTTCCACCCTCCATGGCCATGGGCATGGTCCGCACCTCGGAGGATGGAACCTTGGAACCCAAGGCGTGGAGACACCAAAATCATTGAAAATCATTCCAAAGTCAGCGACGTCCGACAGCCTTGAAATCATATTTTGAATATATTCCAATGGTTTCATAGTTTTTGCTTCCGTTTTAATGAGGGTCGGGACGGTCGGGTGAGGTGGCCACCGTGGTTTCGTTAATCGTGTTTGCGATGGTTCCTTGATGGTTTCATGCCCTTGCTGGTTTGCATTTTCTTGAATTGAATTAGGAGTGAAGGTTTCATCCCCAGGTGGCCTTGAAGATGTTGAAGGACGGCAACCATCGTTTCGTCACCGGTGCTCCGGTGCTTGGAAAGGTGGACTGTCACATGCGCGAAGCCTTGGCTCTGAAGGGCCAGGCGCCCCATACTGCCGTGGTGGGCTGTGCCGATTCGCGTGTGCCACTGGAAACGGTTTTCGATGCCTTGCCCGGTGATCTCTTTGTGCTGAGGAATGCCGGCAACACTTGTGTCTGGGCTCGGCAGTTTTCAGGTGAGTTTGTTTGATTTTTCTGTTTCTACTTCCCCTGAGTTTGGCTTGCCGCGGCTTGCCTTGATATTCTGTTTTCATGTGTTTTTATGGGTTAAGACGTTTAAGATTCTGACCAACAATGAGCGACGAAAACGAGGCACTCATGCTGAAGGCTCGACTCTGGGGAGCTTGGAATTCTGCACCGGGGCTCTGAACACTCGGCTGATCTTTGTGTTGGGCCACACCAACTGCGGAGCTCTCAAGGGAGCCACTGCGGCCTATCTTTCGCAAGAGAAGCGAGCCAACCATGCCCTGGACGTCTTGCTGAACGAGCTGGGCTCCGTGGTGTCTGAGGCCAAAAGTCAGTGCGGCAGGAATGCCACCGCAGATGAGATCGCCAGCAAGGCCGTGGGGGTTGTGGGGCTCAGCAGTTGGAAAGCGAGGAGCCCAACCGGTTGAAATATCTCGATTTTTTTTTGTTTTTTGTCGGATTACTTGTTGATACTTGTTAAGCGCGTTTTCCAGCCGTTTTCGGGGTGTGCCTGTTTTCCTCTTCCCAAAAAATCTGGTGAATCGGTGCAGGCAGTGAAGCTGAACGTCTTCCACACCATGAATTTCATGCTGAAGCACTGCGATGCCATCCGCGAGAAGGTGCGCAGTGGTCAGCTGGAGATCCAGGGCGGCGTCTATGACTTGAGCACGGGGAAGGCGCCAGGGTTCAGGCAATTTGTTTTGGGTTCCTTCGTGAACACCTTAGGCAGTTATATAGTTAGGCCTGTCTCAGACACTGTCTCTATCAATTTTATCAGGGAAACTGCTTTGGGATCTTTTAGGCTGGTGAATGAGTTGTTGTTGCGGTCCTTTATTGGGGCCCTCGTTGGAACCTTGGGAAGGTGGAGTTCCTGGGAAAAAGTCCACAAGAGTCCAAGTTGATCAAGGGCAGCAGCAGTGTGGCGCCCTCTCTGAAGCACAAGATTGCTGGAGCCTAGACAACCTAAGGCGACCTAAGGCGACACCTTGGCCGAATCAGGAGCGAGGAAGGTTGGTCCTGGTTGTTCTGAAGAAGCAGCTAGGGACTTGAAATTCAAAGTGGGACCGCACAAAAAGCCTGCAGTTCCATTGCATTTTTTTCTCGTAATTTTCTACAAATTATTTTCATTCTACCCTCAACTTGTCCGTTGGCCATGTTGAGGATTAAATGTTGATTGATTTGCAAAAGGCAATTTCACTCTGCCTACCGCTGAGGGTCATAGCGTAAAGACGCTACGTGTTCCTTCAGTGTTTGGAGACACCTTTGTGACTGGAGAGCTTCATGTCGTGCTGGTGTCTCCAGAAACCCTTTTTGTGCAACGTCCGTGCACTCATGAAAAGACAGATACAACCAAGATCAACCGAGGGTACTCGTACGGGGAGGTTGTATGTTCATTTGCTTGTGTGCCCTTTTGCATCGAACCGGGTCATGGCCATGGGGATCATTGTTTTTTCTTTCAAACCCCTTTTGTTGATTGCAAACGCTGCAGTCACAAGAAGGCTTAGCTGCATGGTTGTTTGGAGAGCGATTGTTGCGAGCACGTCCTTGCAAAGTGATTGTTGACCTTGCGGTTTCTCAGCACATTTTTGTTCAAACCAACCCTCGCCACAACCAGTTGATACTTGTTGCATTTCGCATCCACCATGAGCTTCTTCACTCAGATCGCCGATGCCCTGACATCTGCAACATCCACGTGCTCCGTCAATGAAGAGGTGCGAAAGGTTCGCACCACGGCAGACCCATCGATGGCACCTGAGGATGCCCTTGAGCTGTTGAAGGAGGGCAATCGTCGATTTGTGGATGGGCAACCCTTGGGTTCCAAGACTCAGAACGTCCAACGGCACCAGTTGGTGGATGAAGGTCAGGCACCCCACACTGCCATCATCGGCTGCGCCGATTCGCGTGCTCCGTTGGAAACAATTTTTGATGCCATGCCCGGTGACATCTTTGTGCTGCGCAATGCTGGCAACACTTGTACCTGGGCTTAGTCAAGTTTTATAAGCATTTTCAATTAATTTCATTATTATTTGTGAGTGACATTGATGACTTTGACACTGCATGTTTCTGTCGATTTCCCCAGATAAGATGCATTGCATTGGCATGCACTGCACGTACAAATGTATGTTTGTACATGTGTATGCATTGCATGTATTGATATCATCGGATCAAAATCCGGCACCAACCAGGTACTCACGCTGAGGGCAGCATGGTGGGTTCGCTCGAGTTCTGCACCGGCAAGCTGGGGAGCCGCCTGATTTTGGTGCTGGGCCATACCAAATGCGGAGCCATCTACGGCGCCACTAAGACCTTTTTGGATGCCCAGCAGGCGCCGCAGGAGCCGAAAAAGGCCGGCTCTGCCTTGGAGGGTCTGCTGAAAGACCTTGGCTCCGTGGCCCAAGAAGCAGCAGACGAACTGGGACCTGGTGCCAGCTCAGATGAAGTGGCAGCACATGCCGTGAAGGTGAACGTCTTCCACAGCATGAATTTCTTGTTGAAGTTTAGTGACAGTATCCGAGAGGCTGTCAAGTCTGGACAGGTGCAGCTCCAGGGTGGGATCTACCATCTGGAGACGGGAAAGGTTGAATTCCTTGGAAAGTCTCCGGTCCAAAGTGAGCTGCTGAGCAGCACTGCCTCCATCCCTCCTTCCATGACTTCCATGGTTGAGAGAGAAAGTCGTGGCCTCCATGGTGTGCGCACAGCGGCAGACGAGCGCGTTCCATCGGATGCGGCTTTGAAGATGCTGAAGGATTCCCAAATTCCGAGGGTATTTGGGAATGTTTGGAGTGGTGAAGTGTAGTTGTAGTTGACACGTAGACACCCCCAGACATGGTCGCCGAACATTCTATTGTACGTAATCTAGCACAACGTATCCGTGCAAGCTGTGAGGTGTCGTCAGTCTTGTCAACAAACCGGTAGCTTTCATGTTGCATCTAGAATCTAGAGAAAGGACTATTGAAGAATTTCTTCAAGTGTCAGTCGCTGACAAGTGATCAAGATATACGCCGATGAATCAAAATTCATTTGTGATCTTCCCTTGTTGACTCGGGCTGACTCGGGCTGACTTGGGGCAACGGAGGCCGGCAACGAGCGTTTCGCCACTGGCGCGGTGACCGCCGGCACCACCTCCGGCGAGATGAGGAAGGCCCTGGTGAAGTACAACCAAGCGCCTCACAGTGCCATCATCGGATGCGCCGATTCACGTGTTCCGGTGGACACCATCTTTGATGCCACGCCCGGAGAGCTGTTTGTGCTGAGGAACGCGGGCAACACTTGTAGCTGGGCAAACATAGCCTTCCTTGAGCAAATGAATGTCTAAACAGAAGGTGATGTTTGGACATGTTTGGACAAGTATGAACATGTTTGGACATGCTTTGACATGTTTGGACATGTTTTGACACTTTTGCGTCCTGTCCAAAGACCTCCTACCTCGAGTTCTGATGAATTGCAGTGACTGACTCAGTGGCCTACAGAAAAGAATAAAAACATATAAAAACTGTGGATCCAAAATTGGACAAAACGTGACGACAGAGGTACCCACGCGGAGGGGAGCATGGTGGGTTCGCTCGAGTTCTGCACCGGCAAGCTGGGGAGCCGCCTGATCATGGTCCTGGGACACACGCAGTGTGGTGCCATTGCTGGCGCCACTGCGACCCACCAAGCAGGTGGAGAGGTGAAAGCCCCGGGCTGCGCCCTGGAAGGCCTGCTACAGGGCCTGGCCAGTGTGGCCAAGGAAGCGAGTGACGACTTGGGCCCAGGAGTGTCCCAAGAGAAGCTGGTGAGCCATGCTGTGAAGGTGAACGTCTTCAACAGCATGAATTTCCTGTTGCAGTTTAGCGAACCCATTCGTGACTTGGTGCGCAAGGGTGAGCTGGACATCCAGGGTGGCATCTACCACCTGGAGACCGGTCGAGTGGAATTCTTGGGTCGTTCTCCCCGACAAGACGAGCTGTTGTCCTCCAAGCTTTCCCTTCCACCCTCCATGGCCATGGGCATGGTCCGCACCTCGGAGGATGGAACCTTGGAACCCAAGGCGTGGAGACACCAAAATCATTGAAAATCATTCCAAAGTCAGCGACGTCCGACAGCCTTGAAATTCTATTTTGAATATATAATATATTCCAATGGTTTCATAGTTTTTTTTTTACCCGTTTTAATGAGGGTCGGGTGAGGTGGCCACCGTGGTTTCGTTAATCGTGTTTGCGATGGTTGTTTCGTTAATCGTGTTTGCGATGGTTCCTTGACGATGGTTTCATTCCCTTGCTGGTTTGCATTTTCTTGAATTGAATTAGGAGTGAAGGTTTCATCCCCAGGTGGCCTTGAAGATGTTGAAGGACGGCAACCATCGTTTCGTCACCGGTGCTCCGGTGCTTGGAAAGGTGGACCGTCACATGCGCGAAGCCTTGGCTCTGAAGGGCCAGGCGCCCCATACTGCCGTGGTGGGCTGTGCCGATTCGCGTGTGCCACTGGAAACGGTTTTCGATGCCTTGCCCGGTGATCTCTTTGTGCTGAGGAATGCCGGCAACACTTGTGTCTGGGCTCGGCAGTTTTCAGGTGAGTTTGTTTGATTTTTCTGTTTCTACTTCCCCTGAGTTTGGCTTGCCGCGGCTTGCCTTGATATTCTGTTTTTATGTGTTTTTATGGGTTAAGACGTTTAAGATTCTGACCAACAATGAGCGACGAAAACGAGGCACTCATGCTGAAGGCTCGACTCTGGGGAGCTTGGAATTCTGCACCGGGGCTCTGAACACTCGGCTGATCTTTGTGTTGGGCCACACCAACTGCGGAGCTCTCAAGAGAGCCACTGCGGCCTATCTTTCGCAAGAGAAGCGAGCCAACCACGCCCTGGACGTCTTGCTGAACGAGCTGGGCTCCGTGGTGTCTGAGGCCAAAAGTCAGTGCGGCAGGAATGCCACCGCAGATGAGATCGCCAGCAAGGCTGTGGGGGTTGTGGGGCTCAGCAGTTGGAAAGCGAGGAGCCCAACCCTTTGAAATACCGGTATCTTGTTTTTTTTGTTTTTTGTCGGATTACTTGTTGATACTTGTTAAGCGCGTTTTCCAGCCGTTTTTGGGGTGTGCCTGTTTTCCTCTTCCCAAAAAATCTGGTGAATCGGTGCAGGCAGTGAAACTGAACGTCTTCCACACCATGAATTTCATGCTGAAGCACTGCGATGCCATCCGCGAGAAGGTGCGCAGTGGTCAGCTGGAGATCCAGGGCGGCGTCTATGACTTGAGCACGGGGAAGGCGCCAGGGTTCAGGCAATTTGTTTTGGGTTCCTTCGTGAACACCTTAGGCAGTTATATAGTTAGGCCTGTCTCAGACACTGTCTCTATCAATTTTATCAGGGAAACTGCTTTGGGATCTTTTAGGCTGGTGAATGAGTTGTTGTTGCGGTCCCTTATTGGGGCCCTCGTTGGAACCTTGGGAAGGTGGAGTTCCTGGGAAAAAGTCCACAAGAGTCCAAGTTGATCAAGGGCAGCAGCAGTGTGGCGCCCTCTCTGAAGCACAAGATTGCTGGAGCCTAGACAACCTAAGGCGACCTAAGGCGACACCTTGGCCGAATCAGGAGCGAGGAAGGTTGGTCCTGGTTGTTCTGAAGAAGCAGCTAGGGACTTGAAATTCAAAGTGGGACCGCACAAAAAGCCTGCAGTTCCATTGCATTTTTTTCTCGTAATTTTCTACAAATTATTTTCATTCTACCCTCAACTTGTCCGTTGGCCATGTTGAGGATTAAATGTTGATTGATTTGCAAAAGGCAATTTCACTCTGCCTACCGCTGAGGGTCATAGCGTAAAGACGCTACGTGTTCCTTCAGTGTTTGGAGACACCTTTGTGATTGGAGAGCTTCATGTCGCGCTGGTGTCTCCAGAAACCCTTTTTGTGCAACGTCCGTGCACTCATGAAAAGACTGATGCAGCCAAGGGCGCTGGCGAATTCTTGGGGAGCATTGCTTGCAGCATTGCAAATTTGCATTCTGGCAGAACCATATGAAACTGCCATACATTTGCGAGCATTTATCCTTGGACTGTTGCCGATTGGCCATCAGCAGGACATTTTATTGCAAGGCGGGACATTTTAGAATTTCAGCACCCTGCTAGAAAGGAATACTGTGTGCAGCTTACATGAGCTTACTATGCATCTATGTTTGATTGTTAATGTTCAAGAGTCTCTTGTTCTTACGCGTTCCTCCTTTCTTTGCAGAGATACTTCGACAATTTTCCACCATTCTCGCACACCAAAGGGAGTGAATCCTTTTTGATTTAGCTTCATGTTTTCAGAGACCTGAAGAAAACATAGGAACACTCTAGTTACTGATACCGTATTGCTGCCAGCGGAGGGCCAATTTTGTGGCCTCCAGTTTATGCCGCACTAGGGGTAGTGCCGCCATGCACATCAAACAGGCTCATTTTGCGGCAGTTTGTTGATGTTACATGAGGTTGACCTTCGTCGTTTCCTGGTTTCATGGCCCCACAAAGTCTGGTCATGGCAGTCCCCGCTGCTTCAATTTACCTTTTTCATTCTGGATCTGTTTGAGAATTGCAACCAGGCGCAAAAGTGCTGCATTGCAAACATTGTTTTCCAGCTCTCGTTGGGTGGCTGGAAGGTTATTCTGCGAGGCTTCAAGACTTACAAAGATCAGGCACTTCCCCAGCCTTTGCTGCAGATGGGTATGGCTCGGTCGTATTGACCCCACCATTTTGGGATGGTTAGATATTAATTAATATATGCAACCCCGCACTGCAGATGAAACTACTTTTCGTGTGTTTTTTTTTGGGGGTAATCCCCCAATCAAGCAACGATCAACATCGCTGACATGACAGTAGCAACGATCAAGATTTTGGATCATTTTGCCCATACGGTTCGGGCCGTATTCGTAGCCAGATTGGTCGAGTCACGTCAGCAAATACGGAAAGATGGGCTCCAGCTGTGTCAGGTGAGTCTTCATGAAGATTTCCATCCTGGAGTGAATGTCATTGTTGGACGGGTCCTCAGAGTGTTGACTTCGGCGATAGAAATACAACCATGAAGTTAATATAATAGGAAAGTCACTGTCCCAGTCAACGTATTGATCTATTGATTTGGACATAAATGGGGCATGCGTTGCCAGTTTGGAAGAAGATCACCTCCCACACAAAGCTTATTGCATAAGGCCACCAAGTCATGAATCATCGCTGGCAACATAGAGAACACCCCATGCCCCGATGCTCCGGCTGCTGTCAGGTTTCAATGGTTCTGGAAAGAGCAACCTCTTCAATGCCATCCTTTTTGTGATTTCTGACCACTTTGGGAGTTTAAGACAGGAGAGCTGGAGAGTTACCAGAAGTTCTAGAACATTTGGAGGAAAACACTAAGAAAATGCAGGTACATCCATGTTTTCCTGTAGATTTTGACCTCAACTACGCCAATGATTGTATGGCGCTGGGAGCTGCAATCCAATTACATTACTAGATACATATAGCCCATATAGCGTTCGATTATATACAGCATAAAACCTCTGAACGCCCCTTATGATTTTTGGTTTCCTCAGGGACAATCTCTGTTCTTTGAACGCAGACCGAAAATTCCCCAAAAACTTCACCAGGAGACGCGAAGATCCCTGCTGCACGAGGGTGCCGGACCTGCTGTTACTGGACCTAAGAATGATGGTTAGGATTGGGGTAGGCAGCCGAAAATCTTGTTTCAGTTTGGCGAATGATGATAATCTGTCCAGCCTCATGATCAAAATGTCTGGGATCCCCCTGCTTAGTTAACCAAGGTTTATTCCAGACTTGCGATTCAGTGATGTGAATAGCATCCAGCACCAGCTATATATCGATTCAATAGTTCAGCTCAAAACTAAGTCTTTCGTAAGGTGTTAGGAGTGGCCATGATCATGCACAAGATGAAGCTGACTCCCTGCACTTTGGGTGTGAGGTCAAAACTGGTGTTTTCCCGACGCTGAGATGATCCTGCTCTGATTGATACATCCAGGTGTCCATGATACAGAATCGGAACTTACCAAAATGGGAGTCTTGAGCATGAGACATGACAAATGTATACAAATGTCTTGTTTATTAGTTAACCATCTTGAGGGGTATGGCTCAAGATTGTTTTCCCTAAACATTTTGAACTTACGAGGAACTTTCACAGAATGAGAAGTACCTTTGGCGTCTTAGACCCTCGAAAACCTGATGGTCCCTGGCGACAACTCTTGAGGTTCTGACGGCCTTCGTTGAGATTGTGCTGCCGTCGGAGTTCTGTCTTACGCCGGCCATGCAGAGCTGTTTTGCAAGTCATTTGCGAAGGTTTGGTTTGACCTCACATTGAAATGGATTGGCTAAAGGGAGAATTTATAGAAAAGGACATCAGGAGGGCCCCATTTTACCACGTTTAAATTACCCAAAATTAAAAAAACCATCACAAAACACTGTGAAAATGAGGCCCTCCTGGCATCCCTCAGAATTTAGACACCAGGATTCTCAGCTTTACCATGAAACAATATGAAACATGGGGATTTCCTTGCTATTTCTGAGGTATTATATAACTTATATATACTTATATAACTTATATAACTTGCATATGTGCAAGCTGGTGCTTTGCAAAAAACACATCTACTCTGCTGTCATTCAGTTTGCCTGGTCTCTGTGCAACTCATGTGAACGAGATTGAGTGTCGCTGGTTCTTGGTCCATCTTTGCTCAACCTGCAGTAGTTTCACAGCATGAGGAACTGTACAGAGAGGTCATGTTTGCATTGGAAGGGCCACAACAAGGAGTTCCTTGAAGATCTTGGGCAGATTCACTTCATCCACGATCTTTCTTTTTTTGGCGCTTCGTTGATTTGTAGATCAGGATTCTAGTCCTATATTCCACCAAGAATGGCGCACAAAAATAGGGGATTCAACTGATCTAACCACCAAACATGGAAATCAATGGACATCAAAACGAAAACATTTCGTGCTGCGCCTCTTTGTTTTCCTGAGCCGTTCGGCTCTGTTTCACAAGTTCGCCTGGCCATGGCGCGATTGTTCTCGTCTGAAATGAGCCGGCGGGCTGGAGGATCAGCTGACGATTGAAGATCATTGCTCCAACCAGAAATGTACCCTTTCGTTGCCTTTTCTTTTTCCCCATCTTGAAAAGACTTCCATGGAAACTATCACATACCCCTAGCATCCCCTAGGCTGAGTTTAGACAACAAACGGTTTCATGTCCAAAGTCCATGCTCGCAAGCTACTTCTTTCTGCAGGAAGTGGGTCCAACGTGACCGTCAACGCAACAACTGCCAAGCAACGCGCCGGTGTTCGGGACAAAGCACATTTGAAGCGGACCTTGTCAACAATTGTACCTTGGCAATGCTGGCTGCGGGTCATCCATGTAATTCAAATGTGTTAAGCCTTGTGGTGTCGCTGTTTGAGTGGTTACCCCATCCATTTTCAAGAGGATAAAACCATTGTGTCGACTTTCCAAACAGGGTCATTTACCGAGTTGCGGACTGAGATTCACATCAATTTACATCCAAAAGTGTAAGATCTAAGAGGATCTAAGTATCTTTTTCAGAACACCAAGCCGCTTGTGGATCTTTGAAACTCCTTAAGAAACTGTGAAGATTTTGATGTTCGACCAAGGAGAAGGATTCCCTTCGCTACAAGGTGGGCAACATGAAGCCCTGGATGGATGAAGATGGCACGGTCATCTGGTCGAAATCGAGGTGTGGGGGACGGGGGGACGGACCCTTTTTTTCTGGAAAAAAAACCCTGGGCTTCCTGGAAAAATCGCCGTAAAAACACTGGAAAACCCAACATGCTTGAGTTTGCAACCATAGAGGAACCAACATCAGTTTTGAAATGTTTTGAACGTGAAGTATCCAGATTTTCTGAGACGCATGTCCATGTCCATCGGTGTGCGTCAAACTTTCGGGCCAGGGACAGGATTTTTGGGACCCAGTTTTGAACCCATATCCATAGTGGTCTTGTCCCTGAATTGGTCCAAGGGGAAAGGCTTGGTAATAAGCCCAGTGGATTCAGCGAAGACTAAGACTTCTCCCACGACCAGGGATGAATCAAGATATGTCCTGTGGGAGCCATCGTGATGTGTCAGGATTTTCATTGCCCAGTGGGTGCTCTCGCAGACCTTTGAGCTCCTTGGGTTCAAGATGGTGACGATAGTGGAAACCGTGGAGATTTCTGATGTTTTTGAGCTAATATAATGTAATACGGATCAATGGGTTTGTCGGAGTGCGTCTTGCTTTGGATATCCTGAAAAACAAAGTACTCCAACATCGGTTCGCTTTTTTTTGGCCAGAAACGGGGATGTATATCCCGTATACCGTATACCACAAAAGCCCCATACATCTTCTGCAGGGTACCAAAGAAATTGGCAATGTTTTGCAAGGCATTGCATGTCTAACGATTTGCTGAGGACAGTCATGGGAGTCATCATCGCTGTCAACATTTTGCTGATGGTTTTCGAAACAAATGTTCCTCGGCAGACTTGAGAGGTGCAGATGTGGGCGGCATGGGTCGACACCTGAAGGACGATCGGTTGAACATGGCATGAACATCTCATAATATACATTTCTTGACAACCGGCAACCGGCACCAGCGACCGGCAACCGGCACCGGCAACCGGCAACCGGCAACCACAACGGTTTGTTATGGTTTCTTTGGTGCTTTCGAATTTTACGCTTCGTTTGCGGCTTCTTTATGGTTGGTTTTGGGCTCCTTTATAGGGTTGGTGTAAGCTTTATGTCCAGTGGTTGGCTCAGGCTCAGCTTGTGGTTTCTTAAGAGTTTGTTCTGGGGTCGTAAGGTTTGCTTTTGGCCAGGTCAGTTTTCGATGCATTCAGGGTTGGTTTAGGGTTTATTCTCGGGTGGGTCCAGGCTTTACTTTGGGTTTGGTGAAGGGTTGGTTTAGGGTTTCTTGGGGATGTATTTATTGGTTTCCTCGGGTTTATTGAAGGTAAGGTATGTTTAATCTTTATTTTGGGCAAGTTTATGGTTTAATCTGGAATGGTTTAGGCTTGTTTTCGGGTTGGTTTCAGGTTTGTTTAAAGTTTCATTAGATTGCTGTGGGTAGGTTTCGGGCTTCTTTTGAAGTTATGGTTACTTCGGCTTACTGTATAGCGGTTTAGGTTTGTTCTAGGCTTGGCTTGATTAACTTATTTCAGCAGTGTTTAGAGTTTCTTTCGGGTTGGTTTTGGGTTTATGTAGGGCTGGCTTAGGGTTGGTTGTAGTGGGGGTTCTCTCTTATTTAGTTTAAAGTTTATGGAGGGTTGGCTTAAATTATTTAAATTAGTTTTTGGTGTAGATTTATGTTTATTTAGGGTTGCCCCGCGGTTTATTTACGGTTGGTTTGGTATTTCTTTTGAGTTGATGGCGAGGTGCCCTTTGCGATCCATTTAGGGTATATTTAGGGTTGGTTTAGGGTTTGTTGAAAGTTGTTTTTTGCTTGTTTAGTTACTAAAGTTTAGTTAGGGTTGGTTTAGGGTTCATGTAGGTTTAGTGTGTTTCTTTTAGGGTTGGTATCGGGTTCGTGGTAGGGTTTGTTTATTTGTTTCTCGGGTTGGTTTAGGATTTGTTTGCAAACGGCTTGGGTTTGTTTTAGGGTTGTTGGTTTAGTGGTTGTGTAGGATCGATTCTACCAGTAGGGTTTCCTCAGGGTTTATGTAGGAATTGTTCACAGATTTATCTAAGGTTAGTTTAAGGCTTATTTTGGATCGGTTTCAAAGTTGTTCTAGGGTCGGTTTTTTAGTGTTGGCTCAAGGTTTGCTTTGGCTTGGTTTGGTCTTTATTCAGGGTTGATTAAAATCTCAGTCAGGGTCGTTTTAAATTTTAGGGTTTGCTGAGGGTCTGTTTAGGGTTGGTTTGGGGTTAATTTAGTGTTGCTTAAGAATTATTTGCGCTTAGTTTTGAGTTTTACTATGTGGTTAGCTTACAACTGCTTTGGAAGAATACATATATAGGCGTACATGCGTACAGGCGTATAGGCGTCTAGGCTTGGCAACCGGCCACCGGCCAACCGGCACCGGCAACCAGCAACCGGCACCGGCAACCGGCAACCGGCGTTGGCAACCGGCAAGCGGCAAGCGGCAACCGGCGCCGGCACGGGCACAGACAAAAAAAGTATATGCTCATCTAGCTATAGGCTTTTGCTTTTTTTAATATCAATATCTCTATCTATATCTACAGCTCTATATATATCTACATCTATGTCTATTTCTACATATCTATCTATATCTACATATCTACATATCTGCATGTCTACATGTCTACATATTTGCATATCTACACATCTACATATCTATCTCCATCTATATAGCTGTGCGTAATTCCTATGCCTAATATCGAATACCTATACCTAAAAACTATATATACCTATAGCCATACCCAATACCAATACCGATGCAAATACCAATCTCTGTATCTATCTCTATGTCTATCAATATCTAACTCTACCAATATCTATCTCTCTCTCTCTCTATCTCTATCTCGATCTCTATCTCTATCTCTATGTATCTGTCTGTCCGTTTACATTATACACAAGAGCTATGACTCTATGACCTTGACGTTACCATGTCCCAGCTGACGGTTGATTCATCCCTTCTGCGGCCAGGCAGATGCAAAATGCTACCCCGAATTCGATGGACGCTTGGAAGCTTGCCCTTACCGCAGCACTTCCATCGCCTGGCTCCAGGTGGGCTTCGCGCGCACACGGCAAGGAACGCCTTGATAGGCTGAACTCGCAGGATTGATCAGAAAGTCGCCATTTACTGTGCGACTGGTGATTTCCTTGAATTTACAATGGGTATACCCTCTGGTAATTTAACATAGCTATTGAAATGGCCATTTACAGTTGATTTGCCCAGTAAAAATGGTGGTTTTCCATAGTTCATGGTAATTTACCAGAGGGTAACTGGCCATGATCGAAAAATCCGGTGGAATCCGAACAATCCGGCATCTTTAGGTGGTGAACATCCTCCTATTGGTGCTCTATACCTTGGAATGCTTCCTGCGAGCCTTCGTGGAACGTGGCAACTATCCGTGGAACAGGCACACTAATCCATGAACTTTCTCATTGCAATGTTTGATTAGCTGGTGAGTAGCAAGTCCCCCAACTGGGATTATTGGGCTTGCATACCCTCTGATAAATTAACATGAACTATGGAAAATCACCATTTTTAATTACTGGGTATATCAACTGTAAATGGCCATTTTCAATAGCTATGTTAAATTACCAGAGGGTATCCCATTGGGTTAAAACCTAATTTATCTTGGCAGCCAGGTGGAATCAGATCGACTTGGTCACCGTAGTGTTGGGATGGGTTGGGGTCTTTGTGTCGACCACCACGTTGAATTTCAACGTCCTACGTATCATCCGCGTGGTGCGTTTGATGCGGGCCGCGCGGGTGGTGATCTCAATCCCCGAGTTCTATATCTTAGTTCCTTGGCTGAAGCGGGAAACAACTGGATGAATCTGGATATGATTGGAGGGGATATCCGCGACATGGGTTTGCACAAAAATGGATAAGATATATTTTTGATAACTTAGATGACCCAAACTATTGGCAATTTTTTGTTGGGAAAATTTGTGGTTGTTTTTTGCCATCAGATTTCAGGTCCCAAGAGGTTACCCTTGTTGATGGTGCAACATGTGGTATATACATGATACATCATGATATACACTAACTGGTTTCATGGGGACAGGTTTTTCTATGTTCCAAGGTTTCAATTATCTTCACAGATGGTGGAGCCCTGAAACCGAGCATTGACGGGTCCGAGGTCAGTGGTTTGACGTCTTCCTTCAAGGCGATCCTCTTCGGCTCGGTGATGCTCCTGTCGGTGACCCGGCGCCGTTTTTCGGCACTCAGGGGCCCAACTTCAACGGTTGAAACGTCAATTGGTCGTGCCCCATTTTGGTTGGGTGACCGTCCCAACTTTTTTGCCCGTGAAATGTGAAGAAATCCTAGTTTTTCTGGTGTCTTAATGCCCTTATTGTATTTGTTGGATATCAACCCCCATTGTTTGCCGCTGAGTATCAACTCCAACTTGCTATATAGGTATTTATCTCCAATTTTTTCGCAACACTCCACATTTTGTCTCGTGTACCAATGACTATGTTTTACTCAGTTCATTTTCCCAAGATCCCGTTGTTTCAGGTAATTTTGGTCTGGGCCATCGTTGTGGTGGAGCTCCTTCATCAGGAGACGGGAGAAATGGATAGAAATGGTGGCTTCGCCTGAAGCCGGATCCAAAAGTTAGGCGCCAGGGAAGCCAATAGGTAAACTCAATGTTTGTGGATTCACCATCAAATTGGGCACGCCAAGCAGTTTGACACCTCGAGATCTCCGACTTTGATGGGGGTTGTCTCCGAGTCTGGTGCAGTGCTTTAAAAAAGGAAAAAGGTTCCTATCACTGGTCACTTTCTTCCCGGAATAATCGGAATGACTCGTTTCAAAACGACAGCCGAAGAACTTTATGGTAAGCAGGGGCTTCCTGACCCTGTATTGGCACATTCCCGAGAGATTTTAGGTGATCTATCCCCAAGATCTAGCCATTTTTCTTCGTTGGATATCCATATCCCCCCAATTTTCCAGCAGAATCCACTGCTCGAGGAGAACGTGAAGATTACGCACGTGAGCACCTGTTGGCGCTGCCGCGAGGCCTTTGCCAGCGTGCAAAATGCCGCGCTGACGATCTTCCAGCAGATGCTGGGCGTGTCATGATAGGGGTAGATGCATGGAACCAGGCAAAACCCACCTATGTATATAATAAATTGATAAGTACACTGCTTGTACACTTGGCTTCCAGAATTTGGAGTTTATCCAACCAAAAGTATGTACGTAACTGGAATTGAAACTTGGTAAACCGACTGGTGAATGGTATGTGAACACTTTGTTTGTGCTGTAAATGATGTTTTTTTCACGAAAGCTAGCGGTAGCTAGCTTGAGTTACTCTTGCTTCAGCAAGGGGAGGGGCAGGACTGAGTCCAATACAGTGATTTTTCACTTGAACCCCCCTTCCCCCCCCGAAGCTCCCAGGGCATTTTGAAGCGTTGTTTTTTCCAGCAGATGGTCACCTTAAATCCTGCTAGGGCACTAGACCCGGTTGCAGTCAATTGCCCAGGATCGTGGCAGGCGATTCCTGGGGTGAGACGAGTATTCCCCTGGCGATTCACCAGCCATGGACGATGTTCATCCTCTTTGCCATCATGATGACCATCTCCTTAGGCTGCATGAATCTGACACCTGGATGCACCACCCTGGATGGCGATGTCCTTTTTCGATGTTAAAATTAGGCGGACCGGAGTTGACTCTCCAGATATTTTGGGGTCAATGATCTGAGAAGACCCATGCGATCATGCGATGTTTTTCTTTTCCTGCGTGAGAAATGATTGAACAGCCACCAACAAGTATCCAATCATTTTGCTGTCTAAATTCTCTGCGATTGGCATAGGCGTAAGTGCCGAATTTTGTTTACTCTTTCAACTTCGGACCACAAATTATTCGTGCCATCATGATGTCATTATCATGTAAATCCTCCACTTCTCATCCCCTGAGGATCTTGGCCGTCATCGTGGAACGGGCGACCGAAGCACGCGAAAACGATCAGCAGCGAAAGATGCAGAAGAAGGACACCAACCTTCTGCCTGGTTGGTTTCAGGTTTCAATGAGTTTTATTTTTTCGTTTTCCGCAATGAGGTTTTTTCCGGGCTCAACCAGGGCAGCTTTTTCAACGATAAACCTTGGGATTTCACCTTCAAAATGATGCTTATACGATGGGGTCATGTCCCCACATCAAAAAAAGTATCGTGACCATCGCCGCGAGAATTCTGATACCCAGCGAGATCTGGGGCCCCGGCCATCCGAGGGCTTTGATTTTGGCAAACATGTTGAGCTTGCTTTGGTCTCCCAAAGTATACAGGTCACCATTTTCGACTTTGATGTTAGTTGAGATAAGTTGATATTATATGTATGTATATATATATATATTATTATTATTATTATTATAATTATATATTCCGTATTCCCTATCTTTTCCTTTTCTATCTCTTTGGACTATGAAAAAAGAACATAACAAGTTCCTACAGGACGCCGAGCAGGAGGCCAACATGGTCGAAATGGCCTTGCTGTGCGACAGTCGCTTGGCGGGTGTCCCTGTGCGCGCTGTGAACTTCGACAGATTTGGAAGATGAAGGTATCTTCCCATGGATTCAACGTATATCAGGTATATCTAGGTCCCTATCCGATCCTATCCCTTTTTTCCTGGTCAGGGAGGGTCTGCCGTGTCGTTCCAAGGTATGGATATGGATGGGAACGGCCACCTGTCGCTGGAGGAAATGTTGGAAGCCTACGATCACAACCCCGAGTTCAAGAACTTGATGCAACAGATGGACAGAAAAATCTGGAGAAAAACCATGCGAAAAAAAACATGATTTTGCTGGATCTCATCAGCTGATATTTTGTCAATGGTTTATCAGTTTATCATCATTTTATCTCTTAGAATTGATCTCTTTGGGGGCCAATCCCCCATTTTCCGACATTTCGATAAACGGGCACCATTCCCCGGCTTGCAGATTAGACCCAGACAGCAAGACTTCATTCGCGCAGGACATCCGCCGCTCTGATATTACGACCATCTTTAATGTGTTGGACGGAGATGCTTGGCGGACCCGGGGAGGATTTCTGTCGTCACGGTCTCATGGTGTCATGGTTGAGTTTTGTTTCACCATTTTGATGGGAAGAAATATCGACGAAGCAGCGAAACCTATAGTTTTGCAGGGTATCTAAGATGGCAGCAGAACTAACGGAAATAAGCAGGCGCCGCTCTAGTATGGAACATATGGAACTGTACCAAGGACTGCTGCGGTGAAGTTTCGTATGTTGAGTTTTGCCAGCAGCTTGGGACCTGCAGGCAGGGGTGCTTCTCAGCATCACCATCACATGGTTTCAAAATTTGCCCGGAAACAAGTCACAAATCAGCAAACATCTGAGCTAAATGGAGAGTTTTCATTTCCAAGACATGGATGAAACCAGTTTGAAACCCTGTTCAATGATTCAATGATTTGTCAACGTTAGTTACCCCAGAAATGGATCATCACGAAGGTTTTCGTTTGTGTGAACATGACCTGCAGTTGGTTCCTGAGAGAAATCCACCCACTAGCGACAGGAAGCGGGACCCCATCATGATGCATTCCTTGGTAAAGTACTCTGTGATGGAACTGCAGAAAACCATTCAGCACGACATCATGGAGAAACTTAACGAGTTCACCGAGGTGGGAGTGGGGGACCTGGAAGGCCTGGGGGGACCTGTCCGACCTGACGAACTTGGAACCAGGTGAGCACATCCCCGACATTTTCAGCGCAAACTGCACCCAGAACCTCCCTGAAATTGGTGGTTGGCTAGTGGCCCATCTCCCCAAAAAAGCTGATGCTTTTGTTGAGGAGATACTTTTTGAACCCTGTTCTCAGGTCACCCGAAAAGTGCGGGCCTCAAAATTCTTGACCGCCCCAAAATTGAATACCTAAATTCCCAAAAATCGTTGCGAAATTGACAAAGTTAGTACATGACAAACATGTTTTTTTAAACAAACACAACATCCAGAATCAATAAACATTGCCCATTAAAAAGAAAAACAAACTCCAACAGTAGACATCTGGAGTTTAAGCGCCAGGCCATGCTGGAGCAGCGGGAGATGCTCCATGAAGAGCTGCAGTTGCTGTATGCCCTACCGGTGGATCCCAAGGTCAAGGAGGCGCCACCGACGGAAATCCACAAAGGGACCTTCCAACTGGGAGTTTCCATATCTATGTGTACTGGAGGGTAAGCATCAAACATGGGAATATCATGGAATATATATATATATTATATATAGTTGGGTATAACATCATCGGATTCTTTTTGGTACAGTGTATATTGTTGCGCCATCAATTCAACCAGTGCGGATTTAACAAGTACATTGGATTCCCTGATTCCGATGATATCTGATGTGGCTGTTTGACCCTTTTTGGCGTGGAAACCACCAACCATAAGTGGCTTGGACCCTCGGCCATGATGAATCATGGGCCATGGGCTTTGGATTTCCCAATTTTCAGACATCCCCCCAAAAATCGAGAACAACATTGGCCAGGCATTTTTTTGGATGTGAGCCACAAGGGTTGAATGTGAGCCGAAGTGGGACACTTCGAATTGAAACAGGGTCCGTCCACTTCCAAATTTTTGGGAATGAAACACTACCCTCCGGTTATCAACCATAGCAAGCTGAGAAATCGCCGAACTAGATGGAGGTTTATAGCTGGAAAAATCAACTTTTCCATTGCCACGTTTGATTACCGGAGGGTTCTTTCTTGGTTCCCAGCTGTTGCCAGCTTGAGCCAGGCGGCCCAAAAGCGCCGTGCCCAACGAGTTCTTAGGCGACAAGGCGTGGGATTTTTCAGGGAGCCAACTTCAACGGTCGGGGGTTCCCTTGGGGCGCCGGAAAGTGGATCGCTTAGAGCGCCGGAAAGGGGATCGCTTGGAACGCCGAAAAGTGACACGTACAGAGACATAAGAGATACATAGCGCTAGAGTTACATATATACACAGAGGCATAGACACATAAATGGACACATTCATACGTGCCTACAGGCTGAAGCACTGAAGCACGCACATGGTGACATTGATAGATGCACGCAGGAACACATTCCAAGCAATCCGCCTTCCGGCGCTCGAAGTGATTCTGCTCTCCGACCCCCTCAGTGTTCCAAAGTATTTGCGTTCGAGTACATCCATAGGTCATGCGTTTGTATCTGCGTGATTGTGACACATACAGACATACATACATGCGTACATACATACATACATACATACATACATACATACATACATACATACATACATACATACATACATACATACATACATACATACATACATACATACATACATACATACATACATACATACATACATACATACATACATACATACATACATACATACATACATACATACATACATACATACATACATACATACATACATACATACATACATACATACATACATACATACATACATACATACATACATACATACATACATACATACACACACAGAGAGACATACATACATACATACATACATACATACATACATACATACATACATACATACATACATACATACATACATACATACATACATACATACATACATACATACATACATACACACACACACATACATACATACATACATACATACATACATACATACATACATACATGCATGCGACAGCAGGAAAGATGATGAGGTTGCTGTGCCTGTGTGTGCGCAGGAACATGGACGTTGTTATCCCACCCCACCCAACCCCACCCCACACCACCCCACAGCGAACGATGATGAAAGTGCAGTGCTTGTGTCCGCACGACGGCAGAAAAGATGATGAGGTTGCTGTGCCTGTGTGCGCGCAGGAACATGGAAGTTATTACCCCACCCCACCCCACCCCACCTCTGGTGCTCTAAGTGATCCACTTTTTGGTGCTCCAAGTGATCGCATGGTGCTCTAAGTGATCTGGTGCTCTAATTAAGTGATCCGCTTTCCGGTGCTCTAAGTGATCACCTAACCAACTTTAACGGCCTTCTGGGCAAAATTTGGGATGTTCCACGTATGGCGATTTTCATGGGAAACAGGATAAGATTCCACTGAATTTAGAGCTCCCAAGCTTGGACAAAACCACATTCAATGTTGTGGAATAGCTTGAATAACATTGATCACTGAGATTAATCCAATGTGATATACACAGCAACAAACGTAACTTTCGCTTGATTAACGATCTATTCTACTAGTAGTTTTTATAGGTAGTAGCATATCATGGTGAACAGACATGGTGGTTTCGATATGGGGATCCCAAACATGCGACCAGGGCCAGGTTGACGTGGAACTGTGCCAAAGAAGTGGATCCCTCTCAGGCTTATACGTCCTGATCTGGAAACCTTGTGGTTGAGCACCTATGCAAAACAACACGGTGCATCATTTGTAGGACAACATTTGTCCCCAGAAAGTGCGGACCCGATTTTTCCCAACATGATGTACTTGGATCACAAAATTTCTTTGATATTCAAGGGATGATTTCGAGGAAATCCCCAATCTTCGCATGCTCGAAAACAAGGTAAAAAACAATGATTTCCTGCAAGATGCCCTCGGCCTCAAAAACATCAAGTGGATCATTTGCAGACGTGCCTGTTCATTGGCTCTAAACAGTTTTGCAAACAACCCTAAAAATGGAATCAAACCAAGAAAAAACAACATCCCCCGAAAAACCACCAACGAAATAAACAAGGTCTTCCGAAAGCGAAACCAAGAATCCCTGTAGGGCGGCCAGGTAAGAAGCAAGGCAACCCACAGTACTTCGACGGCGATGGTGGTGGTGCCAGCGTGCACGGACACGAGGTGGCAAATCGGGAGACCACCGCTGTGACCGACCAGGCAGGGGCAGTGAAAGTGGAGGATTTGAAGCCACACGGGGAGCAGAAAATCCACTATTTTCTGGGAAGGGGATATACAATCAACCATCTAATTTTAGATTTTTGGACCTGAAAACGGATGATTGACCAGCAATTTTCATACGGAACTGATGATTTTGACATCCCTGTTATGGAAATTCATCTATTTTTGGATCCATTTGCATCAGGATGTGACTGGGGTGCTACCTCTCCCTCATTTCTGGGCAAACCCTGGGATTAGGTATGGTCCCGTATGGCGTATGGCATGGTATGTATGTATAATATACACAGTATATATACATGTATGTACATGATATAGTTGATGGTATTTGTATATATATATATATACTCTATAAATATATATAAATATAGAGATAGATATAGATATAGATAGTTGGGTATAGTCTAGTTATTAGCAGTTCATTGCATCATTTTTGCAGCAGTTTCCAAGTGGGATGATCCTGCACCAGGTCATTAACTCGCTGGAAAGCACCTGCCACAGCTTTGAGGACCGACTGGGGCTGCATCGTCCGCTTCATGCTTGATGGTAAATCACAGTTGCCCATGTCTAAAGGATGTAGGGTATGTACATATATAATATAATAATATATATATATACACATATGTGTAGTATCAATATAAATATAAATATAAATATGAATATAAATATAAAAATATAAATATGAATAAATATCTCGATGTATATCTACATATACATATGTGTATATCTACATATACATATGTGTATATATGTGTATACATATTATATATGTATATATATATACATATCTATTTTTAGTATGCATATTTATATCTATATCTTATATCTATATCTTATATCTTATATCTTATATCTTATATCTTATATCTTATATCTTATATCTATATCTTATATCTTATATCTATATCTATATCTTATATCTATATCTTATATCTATCTGTTATATCTTATATCTTATATCTAATATCTAATATCTTATATCTCTATCTCTACCTACCTATCTACCTATCTACCTATCTACCTATCTACCTATCTACCTATCTACCTATCTACCTATCTACCTATCTATCTATCTATCTATCTATCTATCTATCTATCTATGTATCTATGTGTATACATATATATATATATACACACACTGTATACATATTCATATGTAGTTGCATACATATACAGATCTCTCACAACCAGTCAGCCAATGCTGTTGAGGACATGCAGTCAGAACTGCAAGCTCTCATCAAACACGCCGAGGCTTACCTCGTTGGGGGTTGCCGTAACCTCGAACGAGCACCAGCGAACCATCCTGGTTTCAACCTTTTTGGAATGGATCCAAATAGCAAGCAGCAACCGATTACATAATCACCATGACATGGTCGTTGAATGGAATTTAACCACCATACTTCAGTTCCTCTTGGTTACTTTTGCAACACGCGTGATAATGAGAAGTTCCTTTTGTTTTGTTGCGGCTTTGTTGTTACCCTTGCCGATTTCGCAGCGGCCATGGGTCAAAATGAAGACACCCCCATCGCAGGTTTTGCTGATTGGTGGTACATAACGATGCTACTTTTCAATTATTTTCAATTCATATTCTCATACGCTCAATTCCTTTGCTGGTTTGAATCCTTGTTTTGGTTGTTTCCATTTTTAGTGGTGGAACTCTCTGTCTTATTGATAAAACTCTGCCTTTTTATTGTATGTATCCCCAGTTGTTGGTTGAAATCTTCCCGTTGATGTGTACCGTTTATTGTCAGGAACTGACTTCCTGGGCTCTGAGTTCTGAACGCCAGGGACGTGAAACAGGTGCAGCGGAAGAAGATATTGGGATGTAACCTCCAACTCGTGATTCAATCAACAAAAACAGCCCTGTTGATGATTGGTTCAGGGGTTTTACGAAAACCCACTTTGACTATCTAACCATACAAAATGACACATGTTTTATCACAGACACCCATTGTTAATCCCAATATATATAGCATCTGGTTATTTAACATAGCCATGGTATAGATGGCCCATTTATAGATGGTTCACCGGTTCACCAACAAAAAAAATGGTGGATCTTTCCATGGCTACGCTAAATAACCAGATGGTATATATATATGTATATATATATATATCTATCTACACATGTATATATCAACAATCCACTACTATGATTCAACCATGGGACTTAGCCATCAGTTGTTTGGCATGGACTTGGAACGGAACGCCGTGGCTCCGAATGCCAGCCGGAGCATGTTTGGCATTCCAGAAGGGAACAGAATCCTCAGATCCAGGCACAGTCTGGATCCACTACCCACAAATTTAATCATATTTAATGCACTAAATGTTATTCAATATGTTATTCAATATCACTAAATATGGTGAAATATGGTGAATTTGTTCATATGTTCATCATATTTATAGTGATATTGAATAACATTTAGTCATATTTCATCATAATTCATCATATTTCATGATTTTGGATAATATTTAGTGATGTTGAACCACGCTCAATCATATTTGATTATATTTCATCATATGTCATCATAAATCAACATATTTAATCATATTCTATCATATTCAATTATATATGATGATATTTAATGATATTTAATGATATTTAACAGTAGTACTTAAATCATATTTGATTAGTAACCAAATTTCTTGGGCATCCAAAGTGGGGTATATCTGGCCCAAAACCAGGCCTTGAATGAGTCTTCGATCTCTACCAAAGTGGCGGAGATGCTACCTATCATATACCGAACTTGAATGGGTTGAAAGTTGGCCTTTATTATAGTATATTCGTGTATCACAAAAAATCAATATATATATATATCAATATATATATACATATTATATATATAAATATACAAAATACATATACACATGTATATAGATAAATACACACACACACACCCTCATATAACATATATATATATGTACATCATTATGGCATGTTTCCCCAATCTATGGAGAAATCTTTGGGGTTTTCAGCCACCAAACTTCCAAGGCCTCCCGGCGCCAGCGGAGCCGCTGGAGCCGCCGGAGCCGCAGGCGGTCCGGGTGAGGTTCGAAGATCCGTTGGATCCGTTGGATCCGTTGAAGCCGTTGGATGACGATGGGGAGCTGGGAAAAAAGTTTTCAAAGCTCCTGAAGACACTGAGAGAAAGACTCTTGGATGAAGGATGAAGGATGAAGACTTGATGTTAGCTGATGAAGTGTGAAGATGGGAAGTTCTAGAATCTGCTTGAGAGTTCGCAGTTCGCAGTTCTTGTTTCCGATTTTTTGCTCCTACCATTGGGTGGGAAACCACCAAGGAATGAGCGAAGAAGAAGAACTACAAAGAAGATGTAAAGCAGCTATTCAAAGCATGGATATGCTGTGCTTGGATGGCCGCGGTCGCTACTTTTACTGCTAAGCAGGCGCTGACAGACTTCTAAGTACTTCTAAGCGTTGACAGTAGCGGAGAGAAAAAAAGGTCAGCTGCTTGGCAAGAGTTTTCTCGCAAAATGGACAAACATATCCACTTTTGGAGCCTTTTGTATGATTTTTCCGAACCGGACACGTTTTTTTAGAGGTCTTCCTGGTCACTTTTTGGCTGAAACACCCATTCTTGAGCCTCAATGTCTCTCAGAACTCTTGATGGGTTCAGTCAGTCATATCCAGATTCATTTCAGATGTGTCACTGCTTGCTACTTGGATATTCATCCGAGTTTCACAGTTCATATGTGGATAGTGGGTACCAGTTTCCCCAGGTATTCACGGCATATCTACGGGAAATAGACCACGACCAACCGTAGATGGACGATGAAATTGTTGTATTGTTGTATTGTTGTTGCCCCTGCATCCCCAAATTTCAAATTTGCCTTTGGGCTGCGCACTTGGGGCCGGTGGACAAAAAAATCAAAACCTGAACGCAGAGGAAGCTATACAGAGCTTTGTGCAACATTGAAATTTGGGGCCTGGGGTTTACTTGGTAGGCGTCGGTAGGGTTTGATGTTTTTGTCCATCTACTGAAGTACTGCAGATTTCCCAATTTGGTCCTAGTGGGCCTGAGATTATGGTCATGCTGCATATGCTAGTGATTCATCATGAGCTCCAAACATGGCAGGTCTTTGACAATGTCGATCGGCGCATGCCAATTGACAAGGATGAAGTTCGAGTTCGTCTCATTCTCAGTTCTTCAGCATCCAAACAGTAAATATATCATTTTGGTCTTTCTGGGACGGGAGTGGGATGGAAAAATAGCCATTGAATCACGAGGGAAAGCTGAGGTTTCCACCAGCACTTTGGATAATCCATTGCATCGATTCACACACCCTGGCTGATTCAGGGGAGTTACCACAAGCGGTAATTTGCCATTGAAATGCTACCAGTGAAACCAACCAGGCGTTTATTATTTTCATCCTGTCTTCATATGCATTTTGGGGATTGAGCTTTGCAGTACATGGCATGATTTTCACTATGCAAACATGCTCGTTGAACCGGCTTGGCTTACAGCTCTGTCACAGGTCGGACGATTGGGGCAAAGAAGGAGCATATTTCACGGCGTCTGGATAGATCCAACAGGTGTTCGGATGCAAACCACTTGAGCCAGAGCCAAGCCATAGAAGATATGGTGCCCAACATAATTTTACTGGATACCCCAAGTGGGGCTTTCCTTAAGATAGGGGTACCCCCACATCATCTGTTTCTTTAATATGGGGTACCACCATTTTAGGAAAAGCCCAAAGTATTTTTTTTTCTCCTAAATGTGTGCATTGTCAATGGGCAAAACGGAGCTGAAAATCAATGGAAACTCCCAGCACTTGGGCATGGTGAACAAACAAGTTGGATGGTTTTGGATGCACTACAACTATGGTATCTTTGGTATCTTTGGTGTGTAACTCTTGAGGGTCACCGCACCTAGACGATTTCGATGTTTTTTTCCATGAAAGATGTTCCTTTGCAACTATCTGCCGCTTTGTTTGTGAAATGACCATGATTTGCCGGTGAAATACAACATTTTGCCACTGAATCCCTTCGTTAGGACGACTACTCTCTGGACGGCAAGACGGCCACGCGCAATGAGGTCTTCAACCTGCTGGAGAGCTGCGGTTTCACCAAGCCGCGTGGTGAAAACTATGGGGGATTTAGCCATAACAATGGGGATGTCATGGGAATATTCTGGGAGTTATTGTACTAGGATGGTACAGCAAGCGCCTGCCGAAAAGGTACACTTTAGTATTCTTAGCTTGGGATTTTACTTTTCTGCGTTTTTCTGGAGGTGGCTATAATGGATCGGCAAACTCAATGGGTTTCGGTGGATGGATTTTCCCGTATTTTTACCTGTAATTTTTCCATTCCTTGACCAAGGCTGGGAATGGAGGTTTGGGGTGTTTGTTTTTAAGCCTGCTTGAGGTACAAAGGACACTATTTGGTCCTGGATCAAGACCCCTGCTCAATTACGCTGGTGCCAAGGGGTATTCACAATCTCCTTTGATCTCATTGAGCTCAAGTTTTGACCCCCATCCCAACCCATAGTCACCTGGGGATCTGTCAAAAGGTACCAGAAATTCGGATGATTCACCGAAATAAAAGCGATGCATTGCTGAGAATAGGCATTAGTCAGGAGGATGTTTCCTGATATTCGGTTTTTGACCAGGAGTCAGCCATGGCACCCGGCTGGAATGAGGTCCAATCCCTACTACATTGTGCAGCAGGGGAAGGCATGGCTGTTTTGCATTCGCGGCCATGAACCAATTAAAGTCAACAATCTCTTCCCCAAAATATGGCATATGGTATATCAATGTCTATGATTATCCCCAAATCTCATGGATGATGGTCATTTTCCATCATTTTCCGCAATCAATTGCCATTACCATTGGGATATTTACAGAAAGGGTCATCAGCATCTTCCAGGTACTTCCCTTGGGATTTCGTGGTCTTCTAACCCCTGTGGGTTGATGAAATCAAGCACCACAGTCCAGTAGAGTAATCCACATTCAAATGCCACGATATTTGGGGATGTACCACATTTTCAGACATCCAAAAACAGTATCAAGTTGGTGGTTGTATGTGTACAGTGTACATATATATATATATATATCTATATATTATATATATCTATATTATATATTATATATATACATATCAATATATTATCCCATTGGATCCCATGTAGAAATCCCCCTGGTATCCGTATTAGCTTTATGATGCAAGGTGGCCGAGCTCACGCTGATGGATGATCGCCGGCGCTTGGAGCTGTTGAAGGAGGGACAGAGTCGAAGATGTGCAATTTAAGCACAAGTCATCAACATTATGCTGGGGTCAGCCAGTGTCAGCATCAGATTTTATAATTTCACCAGAGTTGACAATAAAGATCAACATTATGCTGGTGTCAGCATCAGATTTTTTATTCACTGCGCTGTTGATCATGGAGGGGTACTGTACCTCACTGTAGCAGATGACATCACAATTATTTGGCAGGTGAACCCCTCATGAATCAACCAGGGTTTATTAATCCAGAGTTGGCAATAACTGGCAATAACCATCAAAGAAGTGATAGTTTTTAATGGGGAATCATGATGATAAATCTCTTGAGGGTGGAGAACGACTCATCCAATCAGCAGGCAATGATTGGGTACAACATGCTACAATGATGTATACAGTGATCCCCCCGAAAATGGAAAAGAAAAAACGCATCAAAATAGCGATCAATTCCTTTTCCATCTTTTTTTTGGGTTACTATAATGCGAATTCGGACCCCCATCTTTGTTTGATTGGTGGTTGCATTGGCTTGGGAAGAACGACCAATTTTTGGTCGAAGCTGGTCCCGGCCGCAGGAGATTTCTGGCGCTGGCGTTTATGACGAACGCCGCGCAGAGTCCATGAAGCTTCTTCAGGACGAGAGAGACCGCAGGGAAACCGCAGGGTGAAAGGGAACCGACCATTCTCCGATCAGTGAAATAGTTCGTTACGTTTTTTCTGAGTGGTGTTCTATGTCAAAATAATATACATATTTATGTATATAGATATTTATAATATATGTATATATATATATACATAGATACTTAGAATATATATATATACACATAATGTATAATATATATAATGTATAATATATTGATATATATAATAAACATAATATATACATGGTATAATAATACATAATTAAAAATCATATAATTTATATAATCTATATATGATGTATATATAATATATATACATAATAATTGAAATTTATATGATATGTATAATATATATATAATATAGTATATATATAATATAATATATATATAATATAATATATATATATAATATAATATATATATAATAATATATATATAATATAATATAATATAATATAATATAATACAATATAATATAATATAATATATATATATATATATAATATTATATAAAAATAATATACAATATATATATAGTATACTATGATATAATATAATAAAATAACAAAATACAATACAATTTAGTATATGTATTAAACATATGATATAATCTATGTATATAATATAATATATATGATATATAATATATATAATATAATGTATAATAATATATATACATATATATATATAAAATAATATAATTAATATATATATATATAATATAATATATATATATTAATTATATTATATTATATATATTATATTATATATATTATATATTATATATATTATATATTATATATATTATATAATATATATAATTTATATAATATATATAATTTATAGTAAATATATAATATATATAATACATCATATATATATAGAATAATATATAATAAAATAAATCGGAATATAATATAAAATAATTTTAAATAATAGCAATAACAATAACTGTAATAATAAAAAAATGATAATACATATATATATATATATATACACATTATACTATCGTAGATGTGTGACCTCCATGGGCGCGGCACAGGACACGGCGGTGAGAAGGAAGAAAACGGACGAGATCATCGAGGTGCGACGCTGGAAACGTGGGAAACGCGGGAAACGGCCATGGGAAACGTCTGAAAATGGGATTTACCCCCCAAGTAAAATAATGATGATGATGATGATGATGATAATCCATTGGAATTGAGTGGTTTTACCTACATTTTAATTGACCATGATGATAAACTTTGTTTTTTTTGGCGGTACCCTATTTTCTAAGAGACGTTTTATCTAAGTTTCGCCATGGTCATGGGAGTGTGGCAGATGGGAATGTAAGCGCAAAAAAGGGATGATGGATTTTTGGATGAGATTTGTGTGAAAGTAGGCCCAAGGTAGATTAGAAAGGTCCAAATGACTTGGAACACAGCCTGTTTCAAGGCAACTACTGATGACTGGCAGCTGGTTTTGCGACACCAAATTTTGATCAAGATCCAAGTTGTTTCCTTTTCGCAAAGGCGAACCGTTTTCCTTTTAAAAGCCAACATTATTTCAGTCCAGAGCTGCAGGCTTCATCCCCTCGAACA